GATTAGCTCCACGCGGTGAGTTCTGGCGCCCGGATCACAGACTTTCTGATTGGTGAAACGGTGGAGGGCGGGACATCGAAATGAAAACAATAACAAGATTTAGGGACTGGAAAAGTAATTTAGAAACTCAAATATCTCTGAACGACTGTTATCAGTTAAAGAAGGATTGGAAAAAAGGCCACTGAGAGAAATGTTCCTAGTTTTTCAACAAAGCGTCAGAAAAAAACAGCTGAAATCGGTTCAATGATAAAAGTCTTCAACCTCATTTTTAAAGGGGAGGTATCGAGGGAGGTCAAACGATGCAAAACATGGGTGTGACAGTTTGTTTAATGTACCAGCTTTGACATACGAGAAAAACACTGAGTCCAAAAATATGTCTCATTTTTAAAGGTTAAAATATGTGTTAGTTTGTTAGTCTGCACATCGGTGGGCGGGACTTCCTGTGTTTGTTAGTTTGTCGATAATACATATATATTTATTAAAAAAAACAGTAAACAGTTGGTCTCCTCAATGCAGTGTTTTCATATCATGTATTTAAGTCCATTTACAAAGCAGCAAAAACAACAGCAGAGGATCATGGGAGTTGTAGTCCATGTGCAAAGATGGGCTGATTATTACTTTACAATAGTTAGTTTTAAAGGGTTTCATAAATATACTATAGCGTAGAATATAGCGTTACATTTATTTTCCTTACTGCATAGAAGTACATTTTTGCCAACTCGTCGCCAGCGCTAATTCCTGTAGAAAACAGTGATGTAAGAGACAGACAAAGCTAGCTAAACACCGGAAATCACAACAAAGGAAGGTCTCAATCATCTGTACTTCAGTTAGCATCATCTGTACTTCAGTTAGCATCATCTGTACTTCAGTTAGCATCATCTGTACTTCAGTTAGCATCATCTGTACTTCAGTTAGCATCATCTGTACTTCAGTTAGCATCCTCTGTACTTCAGTTAGCATCATCTGTACTTCAGTTAGCATCATCTGTACTTCAGTTAGCATCATCTGTACTTCAGTTAGCATCATCTGTACTTCAGTTAGCATCATCTGTACTTCAGTTAGCATCATCTGTACTTCAGTTAGCATCATCTGTTCTTCAGTTAGCATCATCTGTACTTCAGTTAGCATCATCTGTACTTCAGTTAGCATCATCTGTACTTCAGTTAGCATCATCTGTACTTCAGTTAGCATCATCTGTACTTCAGTTAGCATCATCTGTACTTCAGTTAGCATCCTCTGTACTTCAGTTAGCATCATCTGTACTTCAGTTAGCATCATCTGTTCTTCAGTTAGCATCATCTGTACTTCAGTTAGCATCCTCTGTACTTCAGTTAGCATCATCTGTACTTCAGTTAGCATCATCTGTACTTCAGTTAGCATCATCTGTACTTCAGTTAGCATCATCTGTACTTCAGTTAGCATCATCTGTACTTCAGTTAGCATCATCTGTACTTCAGTTAGCATCATCTGTACTTCAGTTAGCATCATCTGTACTTCAGTTAGCATCATCTGTACTTCAGTTAGCATCATCTGTACTTCAGTTAGCATCATCTGTACTTCAGTTAGCATCATCTGTAGTTCAGTTAGCATCATCTGTGCTTCAGTTAGCATCATCTGTACTTCAGTTAGCATCATCTGTACTTCAGTTAGCATCCTCTGTACTTCAGTTAGCATCCTCTGTACTTCAGTTAGCATCATCTGTACTTCAGTTAGCATCATCTGTACTTCAGTTAGCATCATCTGTACTTCAGTTAGCATCATCTGTACTTCAGTTAGCATCCTCTGTACTTCAGTTAGCATCATCTGTACTTCAGTTAGCATCATCTGTGCTTCAGTTAGCATCATCTGTACTTCAGTTAGCATCATCTGTACTTCAGTTAGCATCCTCTGTACTTCAGTTAGCATCCTCTGTACTTCAGTTAGCATCATCTGTGCTTCAGTTAGCATCATCTGTACTTCAGTTAGCATCATCTGTACTTCAGTTAGCATCCTCTGTACTTCAGTTAGCATCATCTGTACTTCAGTTAGCATCCTCTGTACTTCAGTTAGCATCCTCTGTACTTCAGTTAGCATCCTCTGTACTTCAGTTAGCATCCTCTGTACTTCAGTTAGCATCAGTTAGCATCATCTGTACTTCAGTTAGCATCATCTGTACTTCAGTTAGCATCATCTGCACTTCAGTTAGCATCAGTTAGCATCATCTGTGCTTCAGTTAGCATCATCTGTACTTCAGTTAGCATCAGTTAGCATCATCTGTACTTCAGTTAGCATCATCTGTACTTCAGTTAGCATCACAACTGAAGTACAGATGATGAACTGAAGCTAACTGATGTCCAGATGATGCTAACTGAAGCACAGATGATGCTAACTGAAGCACAGATGATGCTAACTGATGCTAACTGAAGTGCAGATGATGCTAACTGATGCTTACTGACGTCAAGATGATGCTAACTGAAGTACAGATGATGCTAACTGATGTCCAGATGATGCTAACTGAAGTACAGATGATGCTAACTGAAGTACAGATGATGCTAACTGATGCTAACTGAAGTACAGATTATGCTAACTGATGCTAACTGAAGTACAGATGATGCTAACTGAAGTACAGATGATGCTATCTGATGCTAACTGAAGTACAGATGATGCTATCTGATGCTAACTGAAGTACAGATGATGCTAACTGAAGTACAGATGATGCTAACTGATGCTAACTGAAGTACAGATGATGCTAACTGAAGTACAGATGATGCTATCTGATGCTAACTGAAGTACAGATGATGCTATCTGATGCTAACTGAAGTACAGATGATGCTAACTGATGCTAACTGATGTCCAGATGATGCTAACTGACGTCCAGATGATTGAGACCTTCCTTTGTTTTGAATAATCTCTGTACGACTGAAATCTTACACAAACTTAACCAGAATCACAAAAAGACAGAAAAGCAAATCAAAGTTAAAGAAATAAAGCTTAAAGAGGTGCACTTGGTTTAAAGTTTAAGGCTGAACAAAATCTCGCTTATAAAGTCTGTAGGCCACTAGTCTCCCCTTTAAAAACATCCTATTCCCATCAACACTGACATTAGTTTTAGATCCTTTCCTTTTTATTTACCGTATTTTTCGGAGTTTAAGCTGCACCAGCCAAGAATGTATAAAAAGAACAAAAAAAAACTTAAATCACATTTTTATACAGTTTGTGGGTTTCAATGACTAAAAACACATTTTCTAATACAAATACAACACGGAAAAATTGAAAATTATCCCGTCGGCGTTGCTTACGGTAAATAAAATACAAAATTTAGAATAAAAAATGGATTAATGTCACACAAAATTCGCACCCCCATGACAAAAACTTTGACTTAAAATCCGAAAAATACTGTAAATAGACTAAAGAAATTGCACCAAGTGAAAATTAGGCGTAAAATTAAGGCAGAATGAGTTTGGCTTCGCTACACACGGCTCGGTGCGTTTGGATTCAAAGCAGTCAAACTGAACCGTTTTAAAGGTTTGTGTTTACAGCAGACGAGCGAGAGTAAATAAAACAGTCCAGAGCTTTGGTAAATGCATAGTTCCTGAATCTCTGCGGGACAGGGCCCTTTAATCACAGCAGGATCTGAGGATTATGGACTGGATTAGAACGGTTTGAACGGAACAAAAACACACTCAGTTAAAGCAGGGGCGTCGAACTCATGTTGGTCGGGGCCGAAACAACACAAGAGATTTCCTTTTTTTACAATAGTTTTTAACAATATGAAGGTTTTACATGACTTTAATGTGACACAGGTTTCATTGTTATTTTCTGGTTTATATTGAACCAAAACTGGATCAAATATAAAGTTAAACACATTTGATATTGAACTATTAAACTTCTAATGATGTGTTTTTGGGTTAAAATGTTAGAATACGTTAGATTTGGTTGTTTTCCTGAGAACATAGATGATTATAACCTGCCTCGGTTAATAATATATAATAATAAAAATAATAAACGCAATTTTAGAGGCTGCTAAAAATGGTCTTGCGGGCCGGATCTGGCCCCCGAGCCTCGACTTTGACACCCATGCGTTAAAGGGACAGTATGTTTTAAAATGCTAATTCTGGCATCGTTTTGAAGCCAAAAGTTGGATTGTAATTATTTTTTTCACCAGTGCAAAAAAAAAAGTGTAGTTTGTGAAAAAAATGAAAAAAAGCCCAGACCAGCTACATTTCAGCGAACAAACGAGCTAACCCATGAGAGCCGATGCTACCGCCGTCATGTCCAGTGTTTTTCCAACTAACTTTAAACTTTTGTTCAGAAAAGGTAAAACACACTTTAAAAACATTCATTTAAAAAGTAAAACATTAACGTTCCTTTAAACATCTGAGGAAGTCCCAGTTTGATTCCGGTGAAAACTTTGGCTTGAACACACCGCAACAAAACATATTGAGACGAGGTGCAGGAATTACAAATACACATTCTCAGGTGAATATATATCTGTTTTTAACCTTGTACAGTCATGAAAATACCCTAAATTAAAGTTGAAAATGATCCCAGGGCTGGTCACGTTGGGAAAAATCATCAAAATTGAGGTAAAAACTATTTATTAGGGTGTTTTTGAATCACTGTGGCAGAAAGCTAGCCTGGTTCTAGCCGACATTTAGCTCCGCCTCCTTAAAACTTGCTGCTGAAATGTTATGTGGGCGGGGCTAAAGGTCGGCTGGAGCTAAGCTAGCAGATAGCACAAGGGTTAAGGAGAAAATATAGCTTTTCCACAGTCAAAGAAAATGTATTTGTAATTCTGCCTCTGAACCTCATCTGAACATTACTTTGTATCGAGACTTTTGAACAACAAAAACTAAAAATATTAATTAGAACTCGCCAAAAACTGCTGCAATGACGCCCTGAAAAGCAAAGTCAACATGTTGTAACCATGTAGTAAGAACTGATAACCACCTGTCGTCCCAAACCAGTTCATTTGGCTCCGGTCCCATGGGCTTCGAACCCAGAGAGAGAGAGAGAGAGTCCTACGGCAGGAAAGGCTCGTCCTCCTCCTCTTCATCTGCGCTGGGACCAGGGTCGCTCAGGCACCTGGTGAATTTCTGCTGGTCCCGGTCGGGGTCCTCGGGCCGCTTGGAGGAGGGCGGTCTCATGACGAGACCTTGGTCTTCGTCGGACCTGGTCTGGTTCCTCTTCAGCTCGTCTGTGAGGTCCACGGAGTCCGGAGACTGAGGAGAGGCCAGGTCCACGTGGATGGTGGGAACGTCATCTCCCACGGACTTACTGTAGGCCTGCGGGTCTGAGGGGGGGAGGGGGAGAGAGGGAGGGGGAGGGGGAGGGAGAGGGGGAGAGAGGGGGAGAGAGGGAGGGGGGGGGGGAGAGGGAGGGGGGGGGGGGGGGGGGGGGGGGGAGAGGGAGGGGGGGGGGGGGGGGGGAGAGAGGGAGGGGGGGGGGGGGGGGAGGGGGGGAGGGAGAGAGGGAGAGGGGGAGAGAAGGAGGGGGAGAGGGGGAGGGGGGGGGGGGAGAGAGGGAGAGAGGGGAGGGAGAGAGAGAGAGCGAGGGAGAGAGAGGGGAGAGAGGGAGAGAGGGGGAGAGAGGGAGGGAGGGGGAGAGAGGGAGGGAGGGGGAGGGGGAGGGGGAGAGAGGGGGAGGGGGAGAGAGGGAGAGAGGGAGGGAGAGAGAGAGAGCGAGGGAGAGAGGGGGGAGAGAGGGAGAGAGGGGGAGAGAGAGGGAGGGAGGGGGAGGAGAGAGGGAGAGGGGGAGAGAGGGAGGGAGGGGGAGGGGGGGGGAGGAGGGAGGGGGGGGGGGAGAGAGGGAGGGAGGGGGGGGAGAGAGGGAGGGGGGGGGGGAGAGGGGGGGGGGGGAGAGGGAGGGGGGGGGGGGGGGGAGAGGGAGGGGGGAGGGAGAGAGAGAGAGCGAGGGAGAGAGGGGGAGAGAGGGGGAGAGAGGGAGGGAGAGGGGGAGGGAGGGAGGGGGAGAGGGGGGAGAGAGGGAGGGGGGGGGAGAGGGAGGGGGGGGGAGAGGGAGGGGGGAGGGGAGAGAGGGGGGAGGGGAGGGAGAGAGGGAGGGGGGGAGAGAGAGGGGGGAGGGAGTGAGAGAGGGGGGAGGGGGGGGGGAGGGAGAGAGGGGGGAGGGAGGGAGAGAGCGAGGGAGAGAGGGAGGGGGAGAGAGGGGGGGGGGAGGGGGGGGAGGGGGGAGAGAGGGGGGAGGGGGGGGAGGGGGGAGAGAGGGGGGAGAGGGGGGGGAGGGAGGGAGAGAGAGGGGGGAGGGAGGGAGAGAGGGGGAGGGAGGGAGGAGAGCGAGGGAGGGGGACATGGGTTAGATTAAGGCTCAGAACACAGTATGAGAGTCCAGGATGAAACAGATCTTGTATATTTTGTTGTCATTAATCGCTGCACACAGTATTTAATCCGCCATCAAGTGTCAGTGTCACTTTAAAAGATGAGAGAGGCTTGTTATTTTCACCTAAATTATGAGACAAAATGAGAAAAAAAAAATCATTTTTGTTGATAAATTGCTAGAGGGTCTAAGGACGGATTCACGGATCGAACCAAGAAGAGAGAGTGTAAATCCACCAGAGGAATGATTATATTTTCTATTTTGTTTGTTTTGTTATGATGTGTTTCTGCTGCTACTGGACACCTGCATTTCTCCGACAGGGATCAATAAAATATCTATCAATCAAAGGTTACATTTGTAACCACGGTTCTATGAATCCCGGATGACTGGTGCATAGCGCGAAGGGAACATGCACTGCTCTCTGGCAGACAGGGACTGGCCTCCTGCTGGGACTCTGAGGAGCACAGGGACCGGTCTCCTGCTGGGACTCTGAGGAGCACAGGGACTGGACTCCTGCTGGGACTCTGAGGAGCACGGGACTGGTCTCCTGCTGGGACTCGGAGGAGCACAGGGACTGGCCTCCTGCTGGGACTCTGAGGAGCACAGGGACCGGTCTCCTGCTGGGACTCTGAGGAGCACAGGGACTGGACTCCTGCTGGGACTCTGAGGAGCACAGGGACTGGACTCTTGCTGGGACTCTGAGGAGCACAGGGACCGGTCTCCTGCTGGGACTCTGAGGAGCACAGGGACTGGCCTCACACACCGCAACAGACTGATAATCCTTCTGAGAAACGATAATCCTGAACGTGCTAGTTTACTTCAGGACGTAGCATGCATGTTAGTGGTTCTTGGAGGTTACCCATGATGCACCTGCTCTGCACCAGCACCTACCTGCCCCCACACAACACTGTTAACACGAGAACTCCCAGAGCAGTCCATTTGACTGCTTTAGTTTTTATTAATACATGGTCCAGTCCGGTCTCCGGTCCGGTCTCCGGTCCTGAGCTGAGTCCTAGTTACCATAGCAACCCAATGTTTACAGCAGTTAGCATAGTTAGCATAGTAGCCTCTAACAACTGTTTTTTGTATATTTTAAGTTATATTTACCAGTTTTAGCTCTTACTCAAATGTAAAAACTTTATAAATTGCAAATAATTCAATAAAAGTAAAAAAACTAATAAAATAGTTTAACATAATAGAACTTTTTGTGATTTTTTTCAGAATGCCACTGATTTGACGCTCTGGGAGTCGGCGTTCCAGAACTGATGGATCGTCGTGTTGAAGAGGAAGTGATGAGACTGAAAGAATCTCAGTGTTTATAATGAGAGACAATGAGAGATTAAAGCTGGGGTGTGTAAATACGGAGCGGTACCTGAGCCCAGTCTGGCTCTGCACATGGTCGGGGAGTCCGGGGGCGGGGCCGGCACCGTCAGGTAGTTATTCATCTCCTTTATCTGCACAAACAGCAGAAACACCACATTTACCAAAGTCTGAATAAAACACATTTAGAGTTGTCAGAGTTTGGTCCGACCTTTATCTCCATCACCTTCTTTTTCCTCAGGATGATGCCGTCTTCGAACGGGTCGGCCACAAGTGTGTGTCTGTTGTACGAGTGCAGCTGCAACACAAAACCAATTTTACTTTTGTTATTCTGCCATTTTGCTTTTATCTTTAGAATGTTCTGGAAACGGCTGCAGGTCCTGATGTCTCTGAAACTGTTGGTTTTGGCTTTATACATTTCATTTGTCTTGCTTTTTTCTGCAGTTCAGTGTTCATGGTTTTACACTGGTCCAGACCAGAGCAGAGAGGATTCATGGTTTTACACTGGTCCAGACCAGAGCAGAGAGGATTCATGGTTTTACACTGGTCCAGACCAGAGCAGAGAGGATTCATGGTTTTACACTGGTCCAGACCAGAGCAGAGAGGATTCATGGTTTTACACTGGTCCAGACCAGAGCAGAGAGGATTCATGGTTTTACACTGGTCCAGACCAGAGCAGAGAGGATTCATGGTTTTACACTGGTCCAGACCAGAGCAGAGAGGATTCATGGTTTTACACTGGTCCAGACCAGAGCAGAGAGGATTCATGGTTTTACACTGGTCCAGACCAGAGCAGAGAGGATTCATGGTTTTACACTGGTCCAGACCAGAGCAGAGAGGATTCATGGTTGCTGATTATTAACATTTTTAACTTTTTAGAATTACATTTTATTTGTTATCTTTGCTGCTACGGGACACCTGGTTTTCTCCCACAGGGGATCAATAAAGTATCTATCTATTTACATAAACTAAAGGAGTAGAGCCGCTGCTTCTCAACGTCGAGAGGAACCAGTGGAGGAGGCTCGGGATCTGCTCCGGAGGCCTCCTGGACGTCTGCTCTGGGCCCGTCCCACCGAGAGGAGACCAGGGGAAGACCCAGGACACAGAGGGACTGGGTCTTCCCCTGGTCTCTCGCTGTGTCCTGGGAACCCCTCAGGGTCCGGCCTGGATAGAGAAGTCTGGGCGTCTGCTTAGACTGCGGCCCCCGTATATCCATGGGTGTGAGTAATAAGTCACACATTGATTATTAGTTTCACATTAGAATTTGAAATACAGAAGTAAATGGTTTCGAACACTCGGCCGCTGTGTGGGGGAGGGGGATATTGATTCTCACTTCTTTAGAGAAAACAAACAATTATATTCAGACCAATACACAGTTCTTTGACGTTGTTATTAGTATGGCACAAATGCTGTGAAATAACCTGATGTATTTACTCTGAACATTATGGTGCTGAGGGGGGGGGCTTCACTGGGGGGGGGCTACACTGTATCGTTTCTGTATAGTTTTGTTATGTTTGTGTGTATGTTGTTTTGATGTTATCCATGTTTATTTGTTGTTTATCAAACCAGACGCTTCCTTTCAGGGGCTTTAGAGACACAATTTCATATCTTTTCATACTTTCATATCTCCATATTCTAACAGAGTCATGAACCAAACCCTGCTTCACACAGACAGATCCTAAAGATTAAAACGTTAGAGCCCTGCACTTGAGCCCGATGGGCCCGACAGCCCTAGGCACAACAGCCCTAGGCACGAAGGACCCGACAGCCCTAGGCCCGACAGCCCTAGGCACAACAGCCCTAGGCACGAAGGACCCGACAGCCCTAGGCCCGACAGCCCTAGGCACAACAGCCCTAGGCACAACAGCCCTAGGCACAAAGGACCCGACAGCCCTAGGCCCGACAGCCCTAGGCACGAAGGACCCGACAGCCCTAGGCCCGACAGCCCTAGGCACGAAGGACCCGACAGCCCTAGGCCCGACAGCCCTAGGCACGAAGGACCCGACAACCCTAGGCACGAAGGACCCGACAGCCCTAGGCCCGACAGCCCTAGGCCTGAGGACCGGGATTTGGGCCGATGACCCTATAATGACCTTGGGCCGGGCTCGGGCACTTTTATTTATTTATTTTCAGAGCGACAGATTACATTTACGAACACACTGAATATAGCGTTCTATCATCTGTGTATCATACAGCTGTGTGTCGTACAGCTGTGTGTCATACAGCTGTGTGTCATACAGCTGTGTGTCGTACAGCTGTGTGTCATACAGCTGTGTGTCATACAGCTGTGTGTCGTACAGCTGTGTGTCGTACAGCTGTGTGTCATACATCTGTGTGTCGTACAGCTATGTGTCGTACAGCTGTGTATCATACAGCTGTGTATCATACAGCTGTGTGTCGTACAGCTGTGTGTCGTACAGCTGTGTGTCGTACAGCTGTGTGTCGTACAGCTGTGTGTCGTAATAATAATAATAATAATGCATTTTATTTCTTAGGCGCCTTTCAAGACACTCAAGGTCGCCTCACAACAACAAGTAAATTAACATCAACAATTAAAAACAGTTAAAATACAATGTTAAAACAGCATGAATAAAACATACAGTTGTGGTCACAGTGAGTAGGCTTGTCTAAACAGATGAGTTTTGAGGATGGATTTGAAGTGTGGGAGTGAGTCGGTGTTACGGAGGTCAGGAGGGAGAGTGTTCCAGAGCTGGGGAGCAGAGCGACTGAAGGCTCTACTCCCCATGGTGACGAGATGGGCGGGAGGGGGAGCAGTGAGCCGGAGAGAGGGAGGAGGAGCGGAGAGAGCGGGCAGGTGTGGAGACATGGAGGAGGTCAGTCAGGTATGGAGGAGCGAGCTTGTGGATTGCTTTGAATGTGAGGAGCAGGATTTTGTATTGGATGCGGTGGGTGATGGGGAGCCAGTGGAGCTGTTGAAGGACAGGAGTGATGTGGTTTATGGAGGGGGTGTGTGTGATGATGCGGGCGGCTGCATTTTGGACCAGTTGGAGTTTATGTAGAGTTTTTTGAGGGAGACCAAACAGCAGGGAATTACAGTAGTCGAGACGAGAGGTGACGAGGCTGTGTACAAGTATGGCAGTGGTGTGAGGGGAAAGAGAAGGGCGGAGCCGGCGGATATTTCTGAGGTGGAAGTAGGCGATGCGGGTGATGCTATTGATGTGTGCGGTGAAGGAGAGGGTGCTATCGAGGGTGACACCCAGACTCTTTACCTGAGGGGAGGGGGAAATGGAGGAGCCGTCAATGGGAATGGAGAAATTGCTGATTTTATTTAGGGTGGATTTGGTGCCAATGAGGAGGAGTTCAGTTTTATTGCTGTTGAGTTTGAGAAAGTTTGAAGTGAACCAGGACTTTATTTCATGGAGGCAGTTGGTGAGAGAGGACGGTGGGAGTGTGGAATTTGGTTTACTGGAGATGTAGAGCTGGGTGTCATCCGCGTAGCAGTGAAAGTGAATGTGGTGTTTTCTGAAGATGTAACCAAGAGGGAGAAGATAGATTAGGAACAGGATGGGGCCGAGGACAGAACCCTGGGGAACCCCTGAAGTGACTGGGAAGGGACGGGAAGTAAAAGATTTGAGCTGGATGAACTGGGTGCGGTCAGAAAGGTAGGAGCAGAACCAGGAGAGGGGAGTGTTTGTGATGCCAATGGAGGAGAGTCTGTCCAGAAGGATGGGGTGGGAGATAGTGTCAAAGGCTGCGCTGAGATCAAGCAGGAGGAGGATGGAGAGTGAACCGGAGTCAGCAGAGAGGAGAAGGTCGTTGGTGATTTTCAGGAGGGCAGTTTCAGTACTATGGAGGGAACGGAAGCCAGATTGAAATTGTTCATATAGGTTATTGGAGGAGAGGTGGGCGTGGAGTTGGGCAGCAACAGTTTTTTCAAGTAGTTTGGAGATGAAGGGAAGGTTTGAAATGGGGCGGAAGTTATTGAGGTCAGAAGGATCAGAGCCAGGTTTCTTGAGAATGGGAGTGACAGCCGCAGTTTTAAGAGGAGAGGGTACAGTACCAGTGGTTAGGGAGGCTTGAATTATGTTAGTTATGAGAGGGGAAATTGCAGGAGTGGAGGCTTTGTGTGTGCAGCTGTGTGTCATACAGCTGTGTGTCGTACAGCTGTGTGTCATACAGCTGTGTGTCGTACAGCTGTGTGTCGTACAGCTGTGTGTCGTACAGCTGTGTGTCGTACAGCTGTGTGTCATACAGCTGTGTGTCGTACAGCTGTGTGTCGTACAGCTGTGTGTCGTACAGCTGTGTGTCGTACAGCTGTGTGTCGTACAGCTGTGTGTCGTACAGCTGTGTATCATACAGCTGTGTGTCGTACAGCTGTGTGTCGTACAGCTGTGTGTCGTACAGCTGTGTGTCGTACAGCTGTGTGTCGTACAGCTGTGTGTCGTACAGCTGTGTATCATACAGCTGTGTGTCGTACAGCTGTGTGTCGTACAGCTGTGTATCGTACAGCTGTGTATCATACAGTTGTGTGTCATGCAGCTGTGTGTCGTACAGCTATGTATCATACAGCTGTGTGTCGTGCAGCTGTGTGTCGTACAGCTGTGTGTCGTACAGCTGTGTATCATACAGCTGCGGTCGTTCACTCCGTACACAGAACTCAACACATCACTCCCATGTATATGTATGTGTTCATATCACCACCCCCTTGGGCCAGGGCCGGGCTCAGGCCCAGAGAAGAGGCCGGTGCAGGGCTCTATAAAGCGTCTCTGGGTCTCACCCTCTGTCGTGTTCTCTGGAGGTTGCTCCTCAGAATGTTCCGGATCTCCTCCTCTTTGCCCCTGGGCAGCTGCGGCAGCATTCTCTCCGGAGGAACCTGCTTCTTAGGCTGAATGTTCCTGCAATTTACAACAATATGAACTTTTATATGTGTTCAGTGGACCAGAGAGAGAGACCAGAGAGAGACCAGAGAGAGACCAGAGAGAGAGAGACCAGAGAGAGAGACCAGAGAGAGAGACCAGAGAGAGACCAGAGAGAGACCAGAGAGAGACCAGAGAGAGACCAGAGAGAGACCAGAGAGAGAGACCAGAGAGAGACCAGAGAGAGACCAGAGAGAGACCAGAGAGAGACCAGAGAGAGACCAGAGAGAGACCAGAGAGAGACCAGAGAGAGAGACCAGAGAGAGAGACCAGAGAGAGACCAGAGAGAGAGACCAGAGAGAGACCAGAGAGAGACCAGAGAGAGACCAGAGAGAGAGACCAGAGAGAGACCAGAGAGAGAGAGACCTGAGAGAGAGACCAGAGAGAGACCAGAGAGAGACCAGAGAGAGACCAGAGAGAGGCCAGAGAGAGACTAGAGAGAGCGTACTGCATGGAGACGGTGGAGGGGATGGCGGGCATCTTGGCTCCGCCCTTCTCCACCAGCTCAATGGCCTGTTTCATCTCCATCTTGTGGTAGAAGGCGATGAGCTGCGGCTCCTCCGACCGCTCTCCGGCGATCAGACACCGCTTCACGTACTTTTTATTGAAGCGATTGAGCCTGAAAACAAACACCAGGATTATCCCCACTGCTGTCAGACTGTACAATGAGTCACTCTGAGAAACCTGCTGCTATAGCCACTCTGTTTATCGACTTCGACTGGGGATTACGGAAGAACAAAACTAGCTAAAAACAAACTTATTTTTGCTGCTGAAAGTAGAGAGTCCAGTCTTTCAGAGTCTGGTTTCATAATTCACATTGTCATCACATATAATATTCTGTTGGTCTTGAAAATCAGTGAAAATATCGAAAACGGCAGAAAGTCAATGCGTTAAATGTGGTCATAACTTAAGCTAGGCGTCTACAGAACGTATTGTTCTAATGTTTTGGCCCAATTTCAGGTTTTAAAAGCATTTTCTGCATCAATAACAAACATTAAATGGGAAAATGAATGAAAAAGATTGTTCTACAGTAATGTTGAATGAAAAAGGATGTTCCCAGACTTTTGAGCTCTTGTGGATGAACAGTTTGTAAATGTAGTTATTAATAAAAAAGATTTGGGCTGTGTTTTCCCAGTACAACATTTTAGTTCATGAAAAACATTCTCCATAGCACTGCGGATATTCATAAATGTTATTTTTAGACAAACTTGTATTTTTTAACTAAGAAATAACGACTTCTTCAGATGTGGTTGAATTAAGAGAAATTCTCAAATGTCTTTTTTTTTCAGTATCTTCGTTTTGATGACTTTTCAGTATTATCTGATGTTTTGGTGATGAAAAAGAAGTCATTGAACAAAACAAGCAACAGTTCTAGTAATAAAACTAAATGTCTTTGTCCCGTTGGAGAATCTAGTTTTAACACAGTCACAATAAAATAATAATAAAAATAAAAAACCACTTGATCCCTTTATGACCTCATATTGATCATGTTTTGCAGTGTTCCCGTTTACACATGGTTCCCGTTTACACATGGTTCCCGTTCACACATGGTTCCCGTTCACACATGGTTCCCGTTCACACATGGTTCCCGTTCACACATGGTTCTTACTTGTCCTTCCAGTGGTGGTGCCCGTAGTGGCCACAGATGTCTTCAATCCCAGTCAGGAGGTGGTCAAGGAACTGTGGGGAGAAGGTCAATGAGATTAGATTTTATTCATTCAACAGAAAAGACCCACTCAGAAGTATTTACAATTCTTTAGTTTATGGAGATACGTCTGGACATTGTTATGTTGCTTCTGTGCTCACTTTACACACACTTTACACACACTTTACACACACTTTACACACATGCAGATATGTAAACAAAGATTAAAGAGAGACCAGAGAGAGCAGAAAAGTCTCACTCTGCTCTCTCCAGTTCTCTCCTCCTCTCTGGCCCCCTCTCTCCTCCTCTCCTCTCTCTCCAGCTCTCTCCTCCTCTCTCGCCCCCTCTCATCCTACTCTCCTCTCTCTCCTCTCTGGCCCCCTCTCATCCTACTCTCTCCTCCTCCTCTCTCTCTCTCCTCTCTGGCCCCCCTCTCTCTCCTCCTCTCCTCTCTCTCCACCTCTCTCCTCCCTGGCCCCCTCTCTCCTCCTCTCCTCTCTCGCCCCCTCCCTCCTGCTCTCTCTCCTCCTCTCTCTCTTCCTCTCCTCTCCTCTCTCTCCAGCTCTCTCCTCCTCTCTCTCCTCCACCTCTCTCCTCCTCTCTGGCCCCCTCTCTCCTCCTCTCCTCTCTCGCCCCCCTCCCTCCTCCTCTCTCTCCTCCACCTCTCTCCTCCTCTCTGGCCCCCTCTCTCCTCCTCTCTCCTCCACCTCTCTCCTCCTCTCTGGCCCCCTCTCTCCTCCTCTCCTCTCTCTCCAGCTCTCTCCTCCTCTCTCGCCCCCCCCTCCTCCTCTCTCTCCTCCACCTCTCTCCTCCTCTCTGGCCCCCTCTCTCCTCCTCTCTCTCCTCCACCTCTCTCCTCCTCTCTGGCCCCCTCTCTCCTCCTCTCCTCTCTCTCCAGCTCTCTCCTCCTCTCTCGCCCCCTCCCTCCTCCTCTCTCCTCCACCTCTCTCCTCCTCTCTCTCCTCCTCTCTCTCCTCCACCTCTCTCCTCCTCTCTGGCCCCCTCCCTCCTCCTCTCTCTCCTCCACCTCTCCTCCACCTCTCTCCTCCTCTCTGCCCCCCTCTCTCCTCCACCTCTCTCATCCTCTCTCCCTCCTCTCTGGCCCCCTCCCTCCTCCTCTCTCTCCTCCACCTCTCTCCTCCACCTCTCTCCTCCTCTCTGCCCCCCTCTCTCCTCCTCTCTCTCCTCCTCTCTGGCCCACTCTCTCCTCCTCTCTGCCCCCCTCTCTCCTCCTCTCTCTCCTCCTCTCTGGCCCCCTCCCTCCTCCACCTCTCTCCTCCTCGTCTTCATGCAGGGTAGTAGAACATTCAGCCACTCTGCTCCCACCTCCACAACACTGACTCTCTTCCTCTGTTCAAATCCAGACTCAAAACTCACCTTTTCTTTCCCCACCCGACCAGTCACATGACCAGTTTGTTTTTTTATCAACACTAATATTTTCAAAGTTGTCACTGCCTCCAGCCTCAGGGTCAAGGAAAAGTGGATCTTTAGAGAAAACATGCAGCGTGTGGCCAGCAGGGGGCAGCAGAAACCATCTTTTCATGTGACTAAACAGTCTACAGTTCTTTTAACATTGCTTTAGTAAATATATACTTAATAATAAATGTTTTTAAATGTTATAGATTTAGAATATTGGTCAAATGTATTTCTGTAATTCAAAGGCAGTAAACAGCACAGATGCAGAGGGACATGAGCCAAACAATTTGTATACTTTTACGATTATATATTTTCATTTATTTTTGCTCCATTTTTTCACGGTAATGCAACAAAATACCACAATAATCCAGCGAGTATAACAGTAACACATTCAGTGAGAAAGAGCAGGAGTAAGATTAAGGAAAAACACTTTTATAAACTCCTCCCCCGATCTTATAATGGTTTAGTCCTTCTGCAAATATATAGTTAAATATGTGATAATAATTCAGGTTGAGTTTTTTTACAAGCCAACTCTGAACAAAGCTCGATATATTTGTAGTAAATGGTCTTTTAAATGCTTCAGTTTCAGCTGTGTACGTCAGCGCCTGCATCTGTCATTTGTGCGTCTCCCAGAGCAGTCATTTTGCCTCCTCAAACGTTGTGTTAAATCCTTTTCACCAAAGCTGCTCCAGTCCCTCTGCTCTCCTCAAAGGTAATGGAACGACTTGGAAGAACTTAGAACTCCTCATTACTCCATAACCCAGACTCAGAGCCAGACTGTACCTGTGTGTGGACCCAGGCCCAGGCCAGAGCCAGACTCAGAGCCAGACTGTACCTGTGTGTGGACCCAGGCCCAGGCCCAGGCCCAGGCCAGAGCCAGAGCCAGACTGTACCTGTGTGTGGACCCAGGCCCAGGCCAGAGCCAGAGCCAGAGCCAGACTGTACCTGTGTGTGGACCCAGGCCCAGGCCAGAGCCAGACCCAGACTGTACCTGTGTGTGGACCCAGGCCCAGGCCAGAGCCAGACCCAGACTGTACCTGTGTGTGGACCCAGGCCCAGGCCAGAGCCAGACCCAGACTGTACCTGTGTGTGGACCCAGGCCCAGGCCCAGGCCAGAGCCAGAGCCAGACTGTACCTGTGTGTGGACCCAGGCCCAGGCCAGAGCCAGAGCCAGAGCCAGACCCAGACTGTACCTGTGTGTGGACCCAGGCCCAGGCCAGAGCCAGAGCCAGACCCAGACTGTACCTGTGTGTGGACCCAGGCCCAGAGCCAGAGCCAGAGCCAGACCCAGACTGTACCTGTGTGTGTATCTCCTCGTTGATGGTACGTACCTGTGTGTGTATCCCCTCGTTGATGGTACGTACCTGTGTGTGTATCTCCTCGTTGATGGTACGTACCTGTGTGTGTATCCCCTCGTTGATGGTACGTACCTGTGTGTGTATCCCCTCGTTGATGGTACGTACCTGTGTGTGTATCTCCTCGTTGATGGTACGTACCTGTGTGTGTATCTCCTCGTTGATGGTACGTACCTGTGTGTGTATCCCTCGTTGATGGTACGTACCTGTGTGTGTATCCCCTCGTTGATGGTACGTACCTGTGTGTGTATCCCCTCGTTGATGGTACGTACCTGTGTGTGTATCCCCTCGTTGATGGTACGTACCTGTGTGTGTATCCCCTCGTTGATGGTACGTACCTGTGTGTGTATCCCCTCGTTGATGGTACGTACCTGTGTGTGTATCCCCTCGTTGATGGTACGTACCTGTGTGTGTATCCCCTCGTTGATGGTACGTACCTGTGTGTGTATCCCCTCGTTGATGGTACGTACCTGTGTGTGTATCTCCTCGTTGATGGTACGTACCTGTGTGTGTATCTCCTCGTTGATGGTACGTACCTGTGTGTGTATCTCCTCGTTGATGGTACGTACCTGTGTGTGTATCTCCTCGTTGATGGTACGTACCTGTGTGTGTATCCCCTCGTTGATGGTACGTACCTGTGTGTGTATCCCCTCGTTGAGTACTGGGTGTACGTACCTGTGTGTGTATCTCCTCGTTGATGGTACGTACCTGTGTGTGTATCTCCTCGTTGATGGTACGTACCTGTGTGTGTATCTCCTCGTTGATGGTACGTACCTGTGTGTGTATCCCCTCGTTGATGGTACGTACCTGTGTGTGTATCCCCTCGTTGATGGTACGTACCTGTGTGTGTATCCCCTCGTTGATGGTACGTACCTGTGTGTGTATCCCCTCGTTGATGGTACGTACCTGTGTGTGTATCCCCTCGTTGATGGTACGTACCTGTGTGTGTATCCCCTCGTTGATGGTACGTACCTGTGTGTGTATCCCCTCGTTGATGGTACGTACCTGTGTGTGTATCCCCTCGTTGATGGTACGTACCTGTGTGTGTATCTCCTCGTTGATGGTACGTACCTGTGTGTGTATCTCCTCGTTGATGGTACGTACCTGTGTGTGTATCTCCTCGTTGATGGTACGTACCTGTGTGTGTATCTCCTCGTTGATGGTACGTACCTGTGTGTGTATCCCCTCGTTGATGGTACGTACCTGTGTGTGTATCCCCTCGTTGATGGTACGTACCTGTGTGTGTATCTCCTCGTTGATGGTACGTACCTGTGTGTGTATCTCCTCGTTGATGGTACGTACCTGTGTGTGTATCTCCTCGTTGATGGTACGTTTGGCCTCCTGCTTCTTCTTCACAGCCAGGAGCTCCACCAGAGGTTTGATGGTCATGCCCTGTTCACACACATCAGGTTAAAGTCTGATCCTGGACCGGTTTGAACCAGTCCAAAGTCTGATCCTGGACCGGTTTGAACCAGTCCAAAGTCTGATCCTGGACCGGTTTGAGTCTTTGCAGAAGAATCATAACAAAACTCTTCAAATATAAATACAGTGTTTTGACTCGGTCTCAGTGCGGTCTTATCTCAGCAGGTTCATCTTATCAGTTAAATGACTCTGTAAAGATACAAGAGGCCCGATAAAACTTGTGTTGAAAGACTTTTAGAAAATGATTGATCCGAGTCCAGACGCAGAAGTGATAAGAAAATACATTCTAGTTTAAACCATAGACTGTGTATAGATGGACAATGCTAACCTGCTAGCATACTACTACTAATACTACTGGTAAATAAGCCAATAACAAATCTTTCAAAATCTATCTCGTCAAGTTTTTGTTCAGTCCAAGTGGTTAAAATAATCTAAAAGTTAAACACAAGCAAAACAAATGGTCAAAATACTCAAACACAAAATATTTCAAAAGTTTTCTTTCCACAAAAACAGTATGGCTTCAGCTGTAGTCTGTTCATCGCTATTTACCCGCTGTTCTGTCTGATTCTTGATGCGATAATGGAACTCCTGAACCCTGCCTCTCTTATCTGCGCACCTGTAGCCTTTTGTGCATGTTTTTAGTGGTAGGGGAAACCGGAGCACCTGGAGAAAACCTACACAGACACGGGGAGAACAAACTCCACTCAGAAAGGCCCTGGTCCGACCGGGATTCGAACCCAGGACCTTCTTGCTGAGAAGCGAGAGTCCTTTTTTTAATTATATGCTCATGTGAATAAATGTTTGTATATATTGGACCCGTTTGATATAAAGTAAATAATTGTTATAATAAAAAATGTGCTTTAGTTTGGGGTTGTTTTGTTCCTGGATAAGCCATGTTCCAGCTTCTTCCCTCCGGCAGAAGATTGTGTTCGCTAACAACAGGGACACTTATACTGTAGGGATACTTTTTAACTTGTTTATATTTATTATGAACTTGTTTTACTGCAAATAAACTGAACCTGAATCTTTTTAAAATCTAAATCTTGTTCATGTTTTTGTGGCTAAGTTTTTCCTACCGACACAATCATCTCTCCCTGAAAAGGACCTTGAACTTTTCCTGCGATCTCAGCAAAGACGAGCAAAGAGATGTCGTGCACGACTCCTGCAGCGTGAATAAAACATGAGACCGAGCCTCAGGGAAGACTTTGGACTGGATTTGGGACGAGGCCAAACTGTCTCCTTTAAACCCTCAGCAAAGGGGCGAGTCCGAGTCCAGGACCTACAGTCCGAGACCTACAGTCCGAGACCTACAGTCCGAGACCTAGAGTCCGGGACCTAGAGTCCGAGACCTAGAGTCCGGGACCTAGAGTCCGAGACCTACAGTCCGAGACCTACAGTCCGAGACCTACAGTCCGAGACCTAGAGTCCGAGACCTACAGTCCGAGACCTACAGTCCGAGACCTACAGTCCGAGACCTAGAGTCCGGGACCTACAGTCCGAGACCTATAGCATAGATATAGATCTATCTATAGAGTCCTGGATCTACCGTTTCACCAATCAGAAAGTCTGTGATCCGGGCGCCAGAACTCACCGCGTGGAGCTAATCTCACTGGTAAAGTACCATGTGGAGCTAATCTCACTGGTAAAGTACCATGTGGAGCTAATCTCACTGGTAAAGTACCATGTGGCGCAGAACTAAAAAAGGTCTCGTTATGATTCTCAAATCATTAACGACAAAACAAGGAATAAAAGCAGGATTTCTATCTTTGTGAAAAAGGTGTTGGTTATAAATTTGTTGTTGACAAAACTCTTGTCTATTCAGCTGTTATGGTCCCAGCTGGATTTGTCTGCATATCTGGCAACCTGAGTCAGGGAGAGTGGGAGAGGCTGCAGTACCACTTTTGGCCACATGTTTAGACTCTGCTGCTTTTACCTGAACGAAGACGGTGAAGAAGATGACGGTGATGATGGCCGTGAGGAACATGTCCTTTTTGGGGAAGTGCACTTCGTCGAGCAGGAAGCCCAGAGAGAAGGCGATGGCCCCTCGCAGGCCACCGTAGGCGATGATGAACTGGTCCTTCGTGGTCAGCTTCACGATACGGAACTTGTTTATGATGTAGGTCAGACCGATCACGCCTGGAACGCAGGATACAGGAAGTACTCCAGTAAAAACTCACATTTAGGTATTTTTTTACTTTATTACCTTTAAACATGTATATGAACACACACACACACACAGACACACAACAACAACACACACGCAGAGACACACAACACACACATCTGTTGTATCTCTCCACATGTCTGAGTTCGTTGTATGTTTGTTCTTTTGCAAAATCAAACAAAGTTCAAAAACAAATAAACCAGTCATTTATGACCCGGGCGACCCATGACCCGGGCGACCCATGACCCGGGCGACCCATGACCCGGGCGACCCATGACCCGGGCGACCCATGACCCGGGCGACCAATGACCCGGGCGACCCATGACCCGGGCGACCCATGACCCAGGCGACCCATGACCCGGGCGACCCATGACCCGGGCGACCCATGACCCGGGCGACCCATGACCCGGGCGACCCATGACCCGGGCGACCCATGACCCGGGCGACCCATGACCCGGGCGACCCATGACCCGGGCGACCAATGACCCGGGCGACCCAAGACCCGGGCGACCCATGACCCGGGCGACCAATGACCCGGGCGACCCAAGACCCGGGCGACCCATGACCCGGGCGACCCATGACCCGGGCAACCCATGACCCGGGCGACCAATGACCCGGGCGACCCATGACCCGGGCGACCCATGACCCGGGCGACCCATGACCCGGGCGACCCATGACCCGGGCAACCCATGACCCGGGCGACCCATGACCCGGGCGACCCATGACCCGGGCGACCCATGACCCGGGCGACCCATGACCCGGGCGACCCATGACCCGGGCGACCCATGACCCGGGCGACCCATGACCCGGGCGACCCATGACCCGGGCGACCCATGACCCGGGCGACCCATGACCCGGGCGACCCATGACCCGGGCGACCCATGACCCGGGCGACCCATGACCCGGGCGACCCATGACCCGGGCGACCCATGACCCGGGCGACCCATGACCCGGGCGACCCATGACCCGGGCGACCCATGACCTGGGCGACCCATGACCCGGGCGACCCATGACCCGGGCGACCCATGACCCGGGCGACCAATGACCCGGGCGACCCAAGACCCGGGCGACCAATGACCCGGGCGACCCATGACCCGGGCGACCCATGACCCGGGCGACCCATGACCCGGGCGACCCATGACCCGGGCGACCCATGACCCGGGCGACCCATGACCCGGGCGACCCATGACCCGGGCGACCCATCAATCAATCAATCAAAGTTTATTTGTAGAGCGCCTTTCATACACAGGGCAACACAAAGCGCTTCACAGTCCACATCACAAATCATCACATAAAACAAACACCAGAATCACAATTAAAACATTAAAATCACACAAAAGATTAAAACACAATTAAAACAGTAAAATCACACAAAAGAATAAAACCATTAAAACTTTCAAAATTACACAAGAAATTTAAAAAAAAATAAATAAATGACAGCAGTGCATTAAAAATGGAGATAAAATCCTTCAGTTATATGCACAGGCAAACAGAACAGTCTTTAACCTGGATTTGAACATTGACAGAGTAGACGCCTCCCTCACATTTTCAGGGAGATTGTTCCAGATCTTAGCTGCATGGATCTGAAACGCAGCCTCCCCATGTTTGGTTCTCACTCTGGGCACCAGCAGGAGGCCAGTCCCTGTGCTCCTCAGAGTCCGGGCCGGTTCATATGACACCAACATGTCACTAATGTATTCTGGTGCAAGGCCATGGAGAGACTTGTACACAAGCAGAGCTGTTTTAAAATCTATTCTTTGAGCCACAGGAAGCCAGTGCAGAGACCTGAGGACCGGACTAATATGGTCATACTTCCTGGTTCCTGTCAGGACTCGAGCTGCTGCATTTTGGATGTACTGCAGCTGCTTACAGGTCTGTTTGGACAGACCTGTAAGCAGGCCATTGCAGTAGTCTAGCCTGCTGGAGACAAATGCATGGACAAGAATCTCCAAGTCTGCCCTGGACACTATATTTCTAACTTTGGCAATGGTCTTCAGATGGTAAAAAGCTGTTGATGTTATTGATTTTATGTGGCTATTGAAATTTAGGTCTGAGTCCAGTATTACCCCCAAATTTCTGACCTTGTCTGAAGGAAGTAGGGAGAGAGACTGAAGTTGACAAATGACGCCCTCTCTTTGTTTCTGGGGACCAAAGACAATGATTTCGGTTTTGTCTGCATTTAGCTGGAGGAAATTATTTTGCATCCAGTCACTGATCTGTTGGATACAGTGAAGGAGCAAATCCAGTGGTCCATGTTCTCCTGCAGTCAGTGAGACATAGATCTGAGTGTCGTCAGCGTAATTGTGGTAGGACACTTTGTTTCTTTGTATTAACTGACCTAACGGCAGCATGTAGAGATTAAATAGGAGAGGTCCCAGGATCGACCCCTGTGGTACTCCACAGGTCAGGGCCACATGATCTGAGACGCAGTCTCCAATCTCCACAAAGTACTTCCTATCCTCCAGGTAAGACCTAAACCAGTCTAGGGCTGTGCCAGTGACACCAACCCAGTCCTCCAGTCTCTGCATGAGGATCTCATGGTCGACAGTGTCGAACGCGGCACTAAGATCTAACATGACCAAAACTGTGACTTTACCTGCATCAGTGTGAAGTCGAATGTCGTTTGTTACCTTCACTAGAGCGGTCTCAGTGCTGTGGTGGGGTCTAAACCCAGACTGGAACATATCAAAAGAATTATTCATTGTTAAAAATTCAGTAAGTTGTTGGGAGGCCACTTTTTCAAGAATTTTTCCAATAAATGGCAGATTCGATATGGGGCGATAATTTTGAAGTCCCGCAGGATCCAGACTGCTCTTTTTTAGGAGAGGTCTTATGACTGCTGTTTTTAGGGCCATAGGAAATGTTCCTGACGACAGAGACATGTTTACTATTTGTGTCAGTGAAGGTAACAAACTGCTCAGGACGGACTTCAGAAATTTAGAGGGCAATATATCCAGGCTACATGTGGAGGAGCTCAGACTCATGATTATCTTTTTGACAGTTTCAGTATCCACAGGTGCAAAGTGAGTTAGCTCAAAAAGCTTCTCGGGCTGTTGCATTGTTATACGTGCTGTGGAGGTGATAGTGTTTTTGATTCCTTGTACTTTGTCATCGAAAAACTGTGCGAACTCATTACACCTAGATTTAGAGGAAAATTCTAGGGGCAACTTTACAGGGGGGTTCGTTAATCTACCAACTGTTGAAAACATAACACGAAAATTGTTACTGCAACCTCCAATAATGTCAGAAAAATACATTTCTCTTGTTCTACGTAGAACCCGGTTAAATTCACCCAACTCATCTTTAAAGATTTCATAATCGCCCTGGAAATTGGACTTTCGCCACTTCCGTTCGGCCCTCCGGCACTCTTGCTTCTGTGCCCTAACCGAGTCTGCCTTAGTCCATGGGGCCTTTTTCTTACTGGTAACTATTTTAACCGTCACAGGAGCAATGGCGTCCAGAACAGTCAGAACACTGGTGGTGACAGAGTTATACAATTCATCAACAGTAGAGCATGGAGTTTTCTCAAAATTTAGCATTCCCATGAACAGTTCACTTGTGTTTTCATGTATGTGTCTTCTTCTAACAGTTGTAAATTCAGCTGGTGGTTTGCTAGCAAAACACATGTCAAAAAATACACAGAAATGATCTGACAAAGCAACATCAACTACATTAACATTTGATACATTAACCCCCTTTGTAATTAGCAGGTCAAGAGTGTGCCCCCTGCTGTGGGTGGGGCCACTCACGTGCTGAATGAAACCAAAGGTCTCAAATACAGAAGCCAGCTCCTTTGCATTTCTGTCATCAACATTATCAACATGTACATTAAAATCACCTGTAATAACTAAACTATCAAAATCTGTGCACACGAATGAAAGTAGTTCAGTAAAATGGTCAATAAAATCGCAACATGACTGTGGTGGCCTGTACAGGACAATGAAAAGAGTAGAAGATTGCTTTTGTTCCATTTTAAAAGAAATATACTCAAACGATGAAAAATTTCCAAGGGGCATTCTATGGGAGACAAAGTGCTCTCTAAAAACTGCAGCTATCCTTCCCCCCCTTTTGTTTTCTCGTACTTCGGATTCGAATTTAAAATTGGGTGGTGTTGCTTCTATTAGAACTGCATTTCCTGTATTTTGGTCGAGCCATGTTTCAGCCATAAGCATAAAATCAAGATCATAAGAAGTGATAAAATTATTAATTAAAAATGATTTGTTACATAGAGATCTGACATTAAGCATAGCAAGTTTAAAAATAACGTCAGAGTCGATTAATGTGGTTGATTGATTTCTACAGGGAACAGAAATTAGATTTGCAGAGTTGGACCGTCTAACTGCTGTCCTGTTTTGATTTCGTTTTTTAGAATTTAAAAACATTTTTGAGCTGGTGCGAGGAACACACACAGTCTCAATTGGCCTAAAATGTGAAAACCCTTGTTGTTCTTTAGCTCCCAGAGTCAGAAGGGAGTCAGCACAGTTCAGTGTTTGGACTGGTAATGCACTGCCAGACGGACAGGGAGCAGTGTTTGCACCGTTGTACTCACCCGGTGCTGGTGAGCAGGAGGCGGGGGAGTGCGGTGGGGTCCGAGGGGGCTCAGATGTAAACAGTCACGCCCCCCTCGGGGAACGCTGAACAACGTAACGCATGTAGCCCATCAACAGGCTGCTACCGTATCTGTTTGGGTGTAATCCGTCTGGACGATAGGCTTGGTTACGTTTCCAGAAAAGGGCAGAGTTATTCACAAAGACAAAGTTAAAAGAGCTGCATGTAGCCTGGATCCACATATGCAGCGCCACAACACGACTGTAGAGGCAGTCACCTCTGTTTACAGTCGGGATTGGACCAGAGATAAAAACAGATAGTCCGGAGGATTGAAGGAGGTGGAACAGATCCATAAAATGTTTCTTCGTGACTTCTGACTGCTGAAGTTTCATGTCGTTAATTCCCACATGCACGACTACCTTGGAAACGGTATCAGGCAGGGACTGAAGCAGAGGAGGGAGACGTATGAGCAGGTCTGGTACAGTAGCTCCGGGAATACAGCGAGTGACCGCGTTAAAGAAGCGGACGTGTCTCACGATGGAATCTCCAATAATCAGAGTGGTCGGGGCGAAGAGTGGCCTCGGAGAAGGAGCTCGGTGGACGGAACCAGCGGGTTCACCCGAAGCAGGACCCGAGCCTGAGCGCCGCTGAACACATGGAGAGGAGGAGCGGGGGTGCTGACTCTCAGCTACAGGCGACCCACGCTGTGTGCTCGGGGACGCTGGAGCGGTGAGAGGGGCTGGCTCTGGGCGCTGCTGCTGACCCGGTGGAGGTGAGCGGTGGTGATGATGGCTAGCTACCCCAGTCTGAGGCTGCTGCACTGGGGTCAAAGAAGGGGAACAGGCCAACATGGCCGGTGGACCGCTCTTTCGCCTGAGGACTGCTTCCTTTAGGAGCGTTTTCCTCGCAGTGGACTTGGATCCTCGAGCAGTAGAGTACGCTGCAGTGTCCAGGGATTCTGCTGAGGGGGCCGGGATGTCGGTGGAGAGGGCTGCATAGCGGTTTGCCAGACTAAGGACATGGGCCACGGCGCAGGATGGCTCCTCGGAGTCCGCGGGCTCGTTATTCGGAAGCGGGCGCTTAGGTGTAGAACAGGAGGGTCCGGAGCTGACGGATCTCTCCCACACGACAGTGTCACAATATGCAGCGCTCAGTGACATCAGCCGTGAGTGCTGCCCACCAGCGACTTCAAAAAGTTTGGATACTAGAGATTGTTTCTCATTCAACTCTGCGGTGAGACGAAGGACTTCTTTTCGTAGATCTGCAATGGTGGCACGGTCGCTCTCACGGAGCTCCAAGGTGAGGCGACTAATATTGTGCATGTTTGAGCCAATTTCATTGTCACTTTCCATGTCCTCGTTAGCTTGTGTTAGCCTCTGTGCTACTAGTGGGTTTCAGTCGGGACTAAGTGCTATTTGCTGAAACCACTGAATTAAAAAGATAAAACACTCAGATATATTAAAAAACTGAACAATAAAAACGCGCTAAAAAGTTGTTAAAAGTTTACTAAAAAGGTGCACAGAGCAGCCCTGCAGTACTGCTTACTTTGACACACCTGCGTTGAAGACCAGACAGAGGATGACTGTGGTGGTTCTTACCCATGACCCGGGCGACCCATGACCCGGGCGACCCATGACCTGGGCGACCCATGACCCGGGCGACCCATGACCCGGGCGACCCATGACCCGGGCGACCCATGACCCGGGCAACCAGACCAAAAAGGGTATCACTCCAAACCTGCCTTGATTGAAGCTCTATAGACCATGGACCAGGCTCTCGCTCCCCCATACTCCGCTTGACCCATGACCCGGGCGACCCATGACCCGGGCAACCCATGACCCGGGCGACCCATGACCCGGGCGACCCATGACCCGGGCGACCCATGACCCGGGCAACCCATGACCCGGGCGACCCATGACCTGGGCAACCCATGACCCGGGCGACCCATGACCCGGGCGACCCATGACCCGGGCGACCCATGACCCGGGCGACCCATGACCCGGGCGACCCATGACCCGGGCGACCCATGACCCGGGGCGACCCATGACCTGGGCGACCCATGACCCGGGCGACCAGACAGAGGATGACTGTGGTGGTTCTTACCCATGACCCGGGCGACCCATGACCCGGGCGACCCATGACCCGGGCGACCCATGACCTGGGCAACCCATGACCTGGGCAACCCATGACCCGGGCGACCCATGACCCGGGCGACCCATGACCCGGGCGACCAGACAGAGGATGACTGTGGTGGTTCTTACCCATGACCCGGGCGACCCATGACCCGGGCGACCCATGACCTGGGCGACCCATGACCCGGGCGACCCATGACCCGGGCGACCCATGACCCGGGCGACCCATGACCCGGGCAACCAGACAGAGGATGACTGTGGTGGTTCTTACCCATGACCCGGGCGACCAGACAGAGGATGACTGTGGTGGTTCTTACCCATGACCCGGGCGACCAGACAGAGGATGACTGTGGTGGTTCTTACCCATGACCCGGGCAACCAGACAGAGGATGACTGTGGTGGTTCTTACCCATGACCCGGGCGACCAGACGAGGATGATGATGTTAATGGGTGGGGACGATGATCCTGTTCCTGGTGTGGGTGTACTTCCCTGTCACCGTGGCACGCCCAGGAAGATGAAGATCAGGGTCTCGCTCACGCTGCTCCACATCTTCAGGAAGTACTTTATGGTCGTGTGCGACTTGTGCGAGATGTTCGCCTCAACGTACGGCTTCATAACGGCGCCGCACGCGATCAGTCTGAGAGGAGAGAGAGGTTAGCTACAGCGGGACCGGGTCAGGACCATGGAGAGGTTAGCTACAGCAGGACCGGGTCAGGACCATGGAGAGGTTAGCTACAGCGGGACCGGGTCAGGACCATGGAGAGGTTAGCTACAGCGGGACCGGGTCAGGACCATGGAGAGGTTAGCTACAGCGGGACCGGGTCAGGACCATGGAGAGGTTAGCTACAGCGGGACCGGGTCAGGACCATGGAGAGGTTAGCTACAGAGGGACTGGGCCAGGACCATGGAGAGGTTAGCTACAGAGGGACCGGGTCAGGACCATGAAAGAGAGGTTAGCTACAGCGGGACCGGGTCAAGACCATGAAAGAGAGGTTAGCTACAGCGGGACCGGGTCAGGACCATGGAGAGGTTAGCTACAGCGGGACCGGGTCAGGACCATGGAGAGGTTAGCTACAGCGGGACCGGGTCAGGACCATGGAGAGGTTAGCTACAGCGGGACCGGGTCAGGACCATGGAGAGGTTAGCTACAGCGGGACCGGGTCAGGACCATGGAGAGGTTAGCTACAGCGGGACCGGGTCAGGACCATGGAGAGGTTAGCTACAGCACGACTGGGCCAGGACCATGGAGAGGTTAGCTACAGAGGGACCGGGTCAGGACCATGAAAGAGAGGTTAGCTACAGCGGGACCGGGTCAAGACCATGAAAGAGAGGTTAGCTACAGCGGGACTGGGTCAGGACCATGGAGAGGTTAGCTACAGCGGGACCGGGTCAGGACCATGGAGAGGTTAGCTACAGAGGGACCGGGTCAAGACCATGAAAGAGAGGTTAGCTACAGCGGGACGGGTCAGGACCATGGAGAGGTTAGCTACAGAGGGACCGGGTCAAGACCATGAAAGAGAGGTTAGCTACAGCGGGACTGGGTCAGGACCATGGAGAGTCAGCTACAGCGGGACCGGGTCAGGACCATGGAGAGGTTAGCTACAGCACGACTGGGCCAGGACCATGGAGAGGTTAGCTACAGCGGGACCGGTCAGGACCATGGAGAGGTTAGCTACAGCGGGACTGGGCCAGGACCATGAAAGAGAGGTTAGCTACAGCGGGACTGGGCCAGGACCATGAAAGAGAGGTTAGCTACAGAGGGACCGGGTCAGGACCATGGAGAGGTTAGCTACAGAGGGACTGGGCCAGGACCATGGAGAGGTTAGCTACAGCGGGACTGGGCCAGGACCATGGAGAGGTTAGCTACCGCAGGACCGGGCCAGGACCATGGACAGAGGGGTTAGCTACAGCGAGAACGGGCCAGGACCATGGACAGAGAGGTTAGCTACAGCGGAACCGGGTCAGGACCATGGACAGAGAGGTTAGCTACAGCGGAACCGGGTCAGGACCATGGACAGAGAGGTTAGCTACAGCGGAACCGGGTCAGGACCATGGACAGAGAGGTTAGCTACAGCGGAACCGGGTCAGGACCATGGACAGAGAGGTTAGCTACAGCGGAACCGGGTCAGGACCATGGACAGAGAGGTTAGCTACAGCGGAACCGGGTCAGGACCATGGACAGTCAGGACCATGGACAGAGGGGTTAGCTACAGCGGAACCGGGTCAGGACCATGGACAGAGAATGTTAATGGCGGTAGGTATGTTTATCTACGCCTTTGAAACTAACGTGCTACACCACACACACACACACACACACACACACACACACACACACACACACACACACACACACACACACACACACACACACACACACACACACACACACACCCACACACACACACACACACACACACACACACACACACACACGCTCCACACATTTCTTCAATGCAGCTTTTTTTAAACATTCTTTTGAATTCAATCATGTTCGAGGTCTTTCATTAATCTGACAAACATCAGAAGTATCTTTCTTACTCACAGAAGACTGTCCTGTCTCAAGAAATAAATCAAATTAACAAGGAAGAAGTTTAATACTTGTGTGACCCCACCCTCTTTTTGTACTTCCCTTTAACTTAATAGATCAAGATTATCCAACATGAAAAACTGAAATGATCATAAATGATTATGTCACAGTCTCCCGCCTCTCGCTCTGAAGAACCCAGAGCAGGAAGAGTGTGAGAAACTCAAACACAGATCTGCTGAATCACGACTTCAGAGACGTCACAGGGATCTGATCCAGACCAGATTCTCTCCCGTCTATGAAGTGGTCCCAAAGATCTGATCCAGACCAGATTCTCTCCCGTCTATGAAGTGGTCCCAAAGAAACTTGACAAACACCATAATATTTGCTCATCAGCCACAGGCCTCGGGGGAAGCTGTTAGCGACACAGTACATCACATCTGCCCCATAACTCAGACACCGGCGCAGAGTGGATTGGTTCATATAGAGAGGGAGAGAGGCCAGAGGGGGGAGGAGAGATGAGAGAGAGAAAGAGGCCGGAGAGAGAGAGGCTGAGACAAAAGAGAGAAGAGAGACCGCGAGAGAGAGAGAGAGAGTGAGCGGAGAGAGAGAGACCGGAGAGAGACAGAGAGAGACAGAGACAGAGAGAGACAAAGAGAGAGAGAGACCGGAGAGAGAGAGAGGAGAGAGCGGAGAGAGAGAGACCGGGGTGAGAGAGGTCAGAGAGAGACAGAGACAGAGAGAAGACAAAGAGAGCGAGAGACCGGAGAGAGAGAGAGAGACCGGAGAGAGACAGAGAGAGACAGAGACAGAGAGAGACAGAGACAGAGAGAGACCGGAGAGAGAGAGAGAGACCGGAGAGAGACAGAGACAGAGAGAGACAGAGAGAGACAGAGACAGAGAGAGACAGAGAGAGAGACAGAGACAGAGACAGACCTGGACCCCGTGATGTCTGTTGTCTGTCTATATCTATGGAGGAGGATCCCGGTCCAGGGCTGCAGAGTCAGGGCCGTGTGAAGGTCCCGACCACTGCAGATAATGTTTTGTCAAATGGAGACATGAAAAGGAGGATGGACCTTGTAGCGGTCAGTTATGATGTAGCACCACTGCACGGTGCCATTTGCTGATGTACTTTATGAAAACGCTTGTCGGGAGAGGTACATGCATGCATATTCATTCTCTCTCTCTCTCTCTCTCTCTCTCTCTCTCTCTATCTCTCTCTCTCTCTCTCTCTCTCTCTCTCTCTCTCTCTCTCTCTCTCTCTCTCTCTCTCTCTCTCTCTCTCTCTCTCTCTCTCTCTCTCTCTCTCTCTCTCTCTCTCTCTCTCTCTCTCTCTCTCTCTCTCTCTCTCTCTCTCTCTCTACGTGCGCAGGCGGCTGCCGTCAGACGTGTGTAAAACAGAACAGTGACCACAGCGGCTTCAGCGGCGCAGCCTCCTGTGATCAACGACTTTGTTTTAACTTCAGAACATTCAAATTAAAGAAGCAGTTTGTGATTTACACGAGCTGTGGCTGTGATCGATGCAAAGGCACTAACGAAGCAGAGGACGTCGCGATGATGAGGACAAACTTACTGAAAACAAAAAGGGTAAAAAGGAGAGAGAGAAAAAAGAACTCCAACATATCCAGGCTTTTTTGAAAGAGTCAATATAAACATTACGCGAAAAATAAAAACGATAGATTTCACGTTCAGGAAACAATTATTTCAATTTAAGCCATGTTTTACACACATTTGTTAATAATCATTGTCATCAAACAAACACTTATAACCAAGGACTACCGCATATGTTAATGTGGGAAATATATTGTTCCATCGCATTTCCAATGGAAAAACTGCTCCCTACGTCACACAGACACTGCTCCCTACGTCACACACAGACACTGCTCCTACGTCACAGACACTGCTCCCTACGTCACAGACACTGCTCCCTACGTCCTACAGACACTGACATGCTCCCTACGTCACACACACTGCTGCCCTACGTCACACAGACACTGCTCCCTACGTCACACAGACACTGCTCCCTACGTCACACAGACACTGCTCCCTACGTCACACAGACACTGCTCCCTACGTCACAGACACTGCTCCCTACGTCACAGACACTGCTCCCTACGTCACAGACACTGCTCCCTACGTCACAGACACTGCTCCCTACGTCACAGACACTGCTCCCTACGTCACACAGACACTGCTCCCTACGTCACACTGACACTGCTCCCTACGTCACACAGACACTGCTCCCTACGTCACACAGACACTGCTCCCTACGTCACACAGACACTGCTCCCTACGTCACACAGACACTGCTCCCTACGTCACACAGACACTGCTCCCTACGTCACAGACACTGCTCCCTACGTCACAGACACTGCTCCCTACGTCACACAGACACTGCTCCCTACGTCACAGACACTGCTCCCTACGTCACACAGACACTGCTCCCTACGTCACACAGACACTGCTCCCTACGTCACAGACACTGCTCCCTACGTCACACAGACACTGCTCCCTACGTCACACAGACACTGCTCCCTACGTCACACAGACACTGCTCCCTACGTCACCACTGCTCCCTACGTCACAGACACTGCTCCCTACGTCACACAGACACTGCTCCCTACGTCACACAGACACTGCTCCCTACGTCACACAGACACTGCTCCCTACGTCACACAGACACTGCTCCCTACGTCACAGACACTGCTCCCTACGTCACACAGACACTGCTCCCTACGTCACACGACACTGACCCTACGTCACAGACACTGCCCCTACGTCACACAGACACTGCTCCCTACGTCACAGACACTGCTCCCTACGTCACACAGACACTGCTCCCTACGTCACACAGACACTGCTCCCTACGTCACACAGACACTGCTCCCTACGTCAACAGACACTGCTCCCTACGTCACACAGACACTGCTCCCTACGTCACAGACACTGCTCCCTACGTCACACTGTCACACGACACAGACACTGCTCCCTACGTCACAGACACTGCTCCCTACGTCACAGACACTGCTCCCTACGTCACACAGACACTGCTCCCTACGTCACAGACACTGCTCCCTACGTCACAGACACTGCTCCCTACGTCACAGACACTGCTCCCTACGTCACAGACACTGCTCCCTACGTCACACAGACACTGCTCCCTACGTCACACAGACACTGCTCCCTACGTCACAGACACTGCTCCCTACGTCACACAGACACTGCTCCCTACGTCACACAGACACTGCTCCCTACGTCACAGACACTGCTCCCTACGTCACAGACACTGCTCCCTACGTCACAGACACTGCTCCCTACGTCACACAGACACTGCTCCCTACGTCACAGACACTGCTCCCTACGTCACAGACACTGCTCCCTACGTCACAGACACTGCTCCCTACGTCACAGACACTGCTCCCTACGTCACACAGACACTGCTCCCTACGTCACACAGACACTGCTCCCTACGTCACACAGACACTGCTCCCTACGTCACACAGACACTGCTCCCTACGTCACACAGACACTGCTCCCTACGTCACAGACACTGCTCCCTACGTCACACAGACACACTGCTCCCTACGTCACACAGACACTGCTCCCTACGTCACACAGACACTGCTCCCTACGTCACAGACACTGCTCCCTACGTCACAGACACTGCTCCCTACGTCACAGACACTGCTCCCTACGTCACACAGACACTGCCCCCTACGTCACACAGACACTGCTCCCTACGTCACAGACACTGCTCCCTACGTCACAGACACTGCTCCCTACGTCACACAGACACTGCTCCCTACGTCACACAGACACTGCCCCCTACGTCACACAGACACTGCTCCCTACGTCACACAGACACTGCTCCCTACGTCACACAGACACTGCTCCCTACGTCACACAGACACTGCTCCCCTACGTCACACAGACACTGCTCCCTACGTCACACAGACACTGCTCCCTACGTCACACAGACACTGCTCCCTACGTCACACAGACACTGCTCCCTACGTCACACAGACACTGCTCCCTACGTCACACAGACACTGCTCCCTACGTCACACAGACACTGCCCCCTACGTCACACAGACACTGCTCCCTACGTCACACAGACACTGCTCCCTACGTCACACAGACACGCTGCTCCCTACGTCACACAGACACTGCTCCCTACGTCACACAGACACTGCTCCCTACGTCACACAGACACTGCTCCCTACGTCACACAGACACGCTGCTCCCTACGTCACACAGACACTGCTCCCTAGACCATAGACTGAAATTTTCAGTCTATGGTCAAAATTCAGTGTCTGTGTGTACGTCACAGACACTGCTCCCTACGTCACAGACACTGCTCCCTACGTCACACAGACACTGAATTTCGACCATAGACTGAAAATTTCTCCACAAAACAAAAACAAATTTAGTTGAGTGTCTTGTGTGAACTCACGCCATGACGCCTAACAGGTGTGTGTGTGTGACAGTCACACACACACACACAGAGACACACAAACACACAGAGACACACAAACACACAGAGACACACAAACACACAGACACACACTTACGCCATGATGCCCGACAGGTGGAACATCTCCGCAGACAGATAAGCCATGTAGCTGTAGACGAAGACGAAGAGCGGCTCGATGACCCTCATGTGGGACGTGAAGCGGGACGTGAACGCCGCCAACAGACCGTAGATGGCGCCCACCAAGACCCCGCCCACCGCCACCACCAGGAACGACACCATGCCCAGGAAACCGTCCAGGACCGTCACGGTACCGGCACCAGCGTACTCCTCAAACAAATGGTACAGCACCTGGTGGATCACAGGGACACGGAGGATCACAGGGACACTGAGACACATGGTGGATCACAGGGACATGACTGCTGGAGGGAGAGACCAGAGAGAGACCAGAGAGAGACCAAAGAGAGACCATAGAGAGACCAGAGAGAGACCAGAGAGAGGCCAGAGAGAGAGACCAGAAAGAAACCAGAGAGAGACCAAAGAGAGACCATAGAGAGACCAGAGAGAGACCAGAGAGAGGCCAGAGAGAGGCCAGAGAGAGAGACCAGAAAGAAACCAGAGAGAGACCAAAGAGAGACCAGAGAGAGACCAGAGAGAGACCAGAGACAGGCCAGAGAGAGGCCAGAGAGAGACCATAGAGAGACCAGAGAGAGACCAGAGAGAGGCCAGAGAGAGAGACCAGAGAGAGACCAGAGAGAGACCAAAGAGAGACCAGAGAGAGGCCAGAGAGAGAGACCAGAAAGAAACCAGAGAGAGGCCAAAGAGAGACCAGAGAGAGACCAGAGAGAGACCAGAGAGAGGCCAGAGAGAGACCAGAGAGAGACCAGAGAGAAACCAGAGAGAGACCAAAGAGAGACCAGAGAGAGACCAGAGAGAGACCAGAGACAGGCCAGAGAGAGGCCAGAGAGAGGCCAGAGAGAGACCAGAGAGAGACCAGAGAGAGACCAGAGAGAGGCCAGAGAGACCAGAGAGAGAGACCAGAGAGAGACCAGAGAGAGGCCAGAGAGAGACCAGAGAGAGAGACCAGAGAGAGACCAGAGACAGGCCAGAGAGAGGCCAGAGAGAGACCAGAGAGAGGCCAGAGAGAGACCAGAGAGAGGCCAGAGAGAGACCAGAGAGAGACCAGAGAGAGACCAGAGAGAGACCAAAGAGAGACCATAGAGAGACCAGAGAGAGACCAGAGAGAGGCCAGAGAGAGGCCAGAGAGAGAGACCAGAAAGAAACCAGAGAGAGACCAAAGAGAGACCAGAGAGAGACCAGAGAGAGACCAGAGACAGGCCAGAGAGAGGCCAGAGAGAGACCATAGAGAGACCAGAGAGAGACCAGAGAGAGGCCAGAGAGAGAGACCAGAGAGAGACCAGAGAGAGACCAAAGAGAGACCAGAGAGAGGCCAGAGAGAGAGACCAGAAAGAAACCAGAGAGAGGCCAAAGAGAGACCAGAGAGAGACCAGAGAGAGGCCAGAGAGAGACCAGAGAGAGACCAGAGAGAAACCAGAGAGAGACCAAAGAGAGACCAGAGAGAGACCAGAGAGAGACCAGAGACAGGCCAGAGAGAGGCCAGAGAGAGGCCAGAGAGAGACCAGAGAGAGGCCAGAGAGAGACCAGAGAGAGGCCAGAGAGACCAGAGAGAGAGACCAGAGAGAGACCAGAGACAGGCCAGAGAGAGGCCAGAGAGAGACCAGAGAGAGGCCAGAGAGAGACCAGAGAGAGGCCAGAGAGAGACCAGAGAGAGGCCAGAGAGAGACCAGAGAGAGACCAGAGACCAGAGAGAGGCCAGAGAGAGAGGCCAGAGAGAGGCCAGAGAGAGACCAGAGAGAGACCAGAGAGAGAGAGACCAGAGAGAGACCAGAGAGAGACCAGAGAGAGAGACCAGAGAGAGACACCAGAGAACCAGAGAGAGACCAGAGAGAGGCCAGAGAGAGACCAGAGAGAGACCAGAGAGAGGCCAGAGAGAGACCAGAGAGAGGCCAGAGAGAGACCAGAGAGAGACCAGAGAGAGAGACCAGAGAGAGGCCAGAGAGAGGCCAGAGAGAGACCAGAGAGAGACCAGAGACCAGAGAGAGGCCAGAGAGAGAGGCCAGAGAGAGACCAGAGAGAGGCCAGAGAGAGGCCAGAGAGAGACCAGAGAGAGAACAGAGAGAGGCCAGAGAGAGAGACCAGAGAGAGGCCAGAGAGAGACCAGAGAGAGGCCAGAGACCAGAGAGAGGCCAGAGAGAGGCCAGAGAGAGACCAGAGAGAGACCAGAGAGAAACCAGAGAGAGACAGGACTGAGGTCTAGGGGAAGACCGTGGTAGTCCTCTGAACGAACCACACCTGTGCAAACAAGCCTAAAGTTTTCTTCTTTAATTAAAGCTAACCGTCATGTTTTACTCCCGGTTATTGTCACAGATTTGTGTTTTACCAAAATCTAGTTAAATTTGGAAAGAACCAAAATACGGCACCAATCCATATTCTAGACTGTAGGTTTCAAACAGAAAAACCAAACCGAAGCACGTCTCCTCCGTCTACATTTCTTTCCGAGTCTCTCTGTTATGATCTGAGCTATTTTCACACAGGTGAGACAACCCAGACCCAGCCGAGCCGTTCCAGGCCTTACCACGGTGACGGCGTCGTTCAGCAGAGACTCTCCAAACACCAGGATGTGCAGCAGCTCATTAATATGGATCTCCTCGAACACGGCCAGCACCGCCACCGGGTCCACGGCCGAGATGATGGACCCGAACAGCAGGCACGGCAGCAGCTCCAGCTGGTTGATCTCCAGAGGGTACCCCGGGTTAATCTGGCAAACGGCGAAGAGCAACCCGCCGATGAAGAAGGAGTTCCACAGAGTCCCCACCACCGCGAACATCAGGATCGTGCCCAGGTTATCCATGAACTGCCGGATGGGGAGAAAGTAGCCGGCGTCCAGGATGATGGGAGGAAGCAGGCAGAGGAAGAAGACCTCGGCGTTCATGACCGGAGGCACGTCTTCACCGGCCAATCGGATGAGGCCGCCGACCAGCAGGCCCACCACGATGAGGAGGCAGCTCTCCGGGACGATGTTGTTCAGGCGAGGGATGAGATGGAAGCCTGGGAGAGAAGAGGAGGACCAGGGTTATGGGTCTGTCAAAGGCCAGGGAGAGACCAGGGAGAGAGACCAGAGAGAGACCAGGGAGAGAGACCAGGGAGAGACCAGAGAGAGACCAGAGAGAGACCAGGGAGAGAGACCAGAGAGAGAGACCAGTGAGAGACCAGTGAGAGACCAGAGAGAGACCAGGGAGAGAGACCAGAGAGAGACCAGAGAGAGACCAGGGAGAGAGACCAGAGAGAGACCAGAGAGAGAGACCAGAGAGAGACCAGGGAGAGAGACCAGAGAGAGACCAGAGAGAGAGACCAGAGAGAGACCAGGGAGAGAGACCAGAGAGAGAGCAGAGAGAGAGACCAGAGAGAGACCAGGGAGAGAGACCAGAGAGAGAGACCAGTGAGAGACCAGTGAGAGACCAGAGAGAGACCAGGGAGAGAGACCAGAGAGAGACCAGAGAGAGAGACCAGAGAGAGACCAGGGAGAGAGACCAGGGAGAGACCAGAGAGAGACCAGAGAGAGACCAGGGAGAGAGACCAGAGAGAGAGACCAGTGAGAGACCAGAGAGAGACCAGAGAGAGACCAGAGAGAGACCAGAGAGAGAGACCAGAGAGAGACCAGTGAGAGACCAGAGAGAGACCAGGGAGAGAGACCAGAGAGAGACCAGAGAGAGAGACCAGAGAGAGAGACCAGGGAGAGAGACCAGAGAGAGACCAGAGAGAGAGACCAGAGAGAGACCAGTGAGAGACCAGAGAGAGACCAGGGAGAGAGACCAGAGAGAGACCAGAGAGAGAGACCAGAGAGAGACCAGGGAGAGAGACCAGAGAGAGAGCAGAGAGAGAGACCAGAGAGAGACCTGAGAGAGAGACCAGAGAGAGAGACCAGGGAGAGAGACCAGGGAGAGAGACCAGGGAGAGAGACCAGAGAGAGACCAGGGAGAGAGACCAGGGAGAGAGACCAGGGAGAGAGACCAGGGAGAGAGACCAGAGAGAGAGAGACCAGAGAGAGACCAGGGAGAGAGACCAGAGAGAGACCAGAGAGAGAGAGACCAGAGAGAGACCAGGGAGAGAGACCAGAGAGAGACCAGAGAGAGAGAGACCAGAGAGAGACCAGAGAGAGAGACCAGAGAGAGAGACCAGGGAGAGAGACCAGGGAGAGAGACCAGAGAGAGAGACCAGAGAGAGAGACCAGAGAGAGAGACCAGAGAGAGAGACCAGAGAGAGACCAGAGAGAGAGACCAGAGAGAGAGACCAGAGAGAGACCAGAGAGAGAGACCAGGGAGAGAGACCAGAAAGAGACCAGAGAAGATGAAGAGGAGTGCAGAGCGGCTCAGGTGAGTCCAAAACGAACACATAACACTAGCATCTTGATCTCACAGAGTATAGCACCTTTGCTAGCACCGGAGCCATTTCTTCGTAGCATTTATATAAGTGTAATATGACAGTGGATCTTATTGTTTACTTTTAAAACAATCGCACATTTTCTTTACATTGAACTGAGAATAAAACATTTTAAATTTCAGTTTCATGAATTCCCAGAGATAACACAATGCAGTCAATATTCAGTATCGAAGTACTCACATTAAAAGGTTACTCTTATTAAAGTCCCCACTTTCCTCCCACTGGGTTTTTAGAGTTTTTCCTGAGGGTCTGAGGGCAGTGGAGATGATCCAGGACACTTTATAAACTTCATGTGAGAAAGTCTGTATTCCTGCGATTATCAGAAAGTAACTGTAATCTAAATACCAGACTTTAAAGTAGTAACTGTGAGGGAATATAGTTACTCAGAGTATTCTGAATAATAAACAGGATTACATGTATTCAGTTAAAGGTAAAGATATAATCCCAAACTAAAAGAACAAGAATCTGAAAGAATTCAAGTCAGTGTCGATGACACAGACGCTGCAAATATTTAACATTCCAGACATTTTAGTGTCAGAGTTTACACTGTTCAGACAGAAGGTGAAATGAAAAGTTAAAGAACAAGACGTTGTATTTATATGTATATATATGTGTGTATCTATTGTATGTGTATATTTATATGTATATACAGTGCCTTGCGAAAGTATTCGGCCCCCTTGAACCTTTCAACATTTCGCCACATTTCAGGCTTCAAACATAAAGATATAAAATTTTAATTTTTTGTCATGAATCAACAACAAGTGGGACACAATCGTAAAGTGGAACGAAATTTATTGGATAATTTAAACTTTTCTTTTTTAAACCTCCTGTGGACTCACCACCTGCAGAGGGTCAGTGAGGGGCTGGTGCTATGAGACTTGGGTGGCATCTCTGACTGCCACCCCCCTGACCCAGAAATGGATTAAAGGGTATAAAATGGATGGATGGATGGAATTTAAACTTTTTTAACAAATAAAAAACTGAAAAGTGGGGCGTGCAATATTATTCGGCCCCTTTACTTTCAGTGCAGCAAACTCAGTCCAGAAGTTCAGTGAGGATCTTTGAATGATCCAATGTTGTCCTAAATGACTGATGATGATAAATAGAATGCCCCTGTGTGTAATCAAGTCTCCGTATAAATGCACCTGCTCTTTGATAGTCTCAGGGTTCTGTTTAAAGCACAGAGAGAACCATGAAGACAAAGGAACACACCAGGCAGGTCCGAGATACTGTTGTGGAGAAGTTTAAAGCCGGATTTAGATACAAAAAGATTTCCCAAGCTTTAAACATCTCAAGGAGCACTGTGCAAGCAATTATATTGAAATGGAAGGAGTATCAGACCACTGCAAATCTACCAAGACCTGGCTGTCCCTCCAAAACTTTCATCTCAAACAAGGAGAAGACTGATCAGAGATGCAGCCAAGAGGCCCATGATCACTCTGGATGAACTGCTGGGTAATTGTCTTTCTGGGTACACCCCCACAGGCCTGGAGTGAGATTGCAAGTATGTCAGCGCACGTGATCATGGACCTCTTTGAGCCGGGACCAAGCCCCGGTGATCCAAGATGGCGTTCTATTGAAATCAATGGCTTGTGTCAAGATTAGCGGAAGTCCCATGATGCTTTGCACCAAGTATGCGTGTGTGGCTCTCATGCACGTGCACAGAGGGGCAGTGCTCTGACCAATCAGAGCTGATCATTGTTCTGGAGTCAGAGCGGGAGCCAGACGAGCAGAGTTTTTGGCAGTAAAGTGTGGATTTAAAGAAAACCGAAGGATTTACAAGAAAAAAAAGTTCTCCGTCAGGTTCTCCGTCAGGTTCTCCGTCAGGTGAGGTCAAGCTGTTTTAGTTTACATTGAGTTCTATGAGGAAAATGTCTGTAGCCCAAGTGAATTTACTTTTGTTTAGTCTGCAGTACCGCGAGAATCCCCCACGTATGGATCCTTCAGCTCCAAGCTGTAACACTATCCAGATATTCTAATAGATCCATGGCCGGGACCCGCCCCCACTGGTCCTGGCGTTTACACTCGCAGGGCAGGTGAGGGCAGGTGAGAGCAGGCTGGGTCGTGTCCTGACATACCTCCTGCAGGCTTCACAGGACTGAGTGGTTAGCGGTGAGGACCCTGTGAATGTGGCCTAATGATCAACTGAAGGAAAAATGGAAATGAGATGTAAAATGTCTATTGCAGAATCCCCCAAAATACCGGTCGTTGCCTTTTGTTTTTAGAATATGACCCGTGTCGGTTTGAGATTGCAAATAAACAAACTAATACTAATGATGTATGACAGGATATAGTTGTCTGACCAGTTGTTTTACAGCTCCTTTGGATTACACTGCTGTTCTAGTGTAAATCAGTGACTCACATTAGCACAGGTGACGGAACAAGGAAGAATGCAGCAGGCCCCAGGGAATGTCCCGCTGCCAGAGAAAACAAGAGACTGCCAAAGGGAATGGCGTTGGGTTAGCTTCCTTCTGCGAGGACGATAAAGCTGTGACATAGTTTTACAGGACGCTAGACCAGAAAACAGGAGTAAATATTCAGACCTGCAACTTTGACAGAACCTGCTGCTGCCGTGGATTATTATCAACCCAGACATGAGACATCAGAAGGTTGCTTTGGGCGATTAGCATTTATTAGCAGTTTTAAGCTACAGTACAGAGCAAAAGTGTGGACACCCTCTCTCCTTCACTGAGTTCTTTTTATGACTATTGCTGTAGACCCGCACCAGGCTGTGTAAGGGCTGTTTGACCAATAAGGAGAGAGACCGGACCTGAACCCAGTCCAGATGGTTTTGGGGCTGGACCACAGAGTGAAGGGGCCAACAAGTGCTAAGCATCATGGGAACTCGGACCATTTCAGGTCCTGTTGAAGCTCATCCAGAGAATGCCGAGAGTGAAGCAGTATCAGAGCAAAAGGAGCTACTTTGAAGAACTAGAATATAACACATATTTACACTTGGTTCATACTTTTTTACTACGGACATAATTCACATGAGTTCATTCATAGGTTTGAAACCCTCAGTATCAATCTACTATTTTCATTATCATGAAAATAAAAACTCTTTGAATGAGAAGGTGTCCAAACTTTTGGTCTGTACTGTAGGTCCCAGACAGCTACAAAGTCTGATCCATGGCCGCTCCTGCAGAAGTTTGCCAGTCTTATATAAATATACAAATGTCTGACTGTCAGAGAGAAGGATGGTACTTATATAGACCTTAAATACAGGTGTAAACACAGAGACTTTGGAGACATGACCGGGCAGAATGAACAGACTGGAAAAGACCACGTAGACAAAGAGTGGCATGACGGAGAGATGAACATATGACTTTCTCCCAGACCAATCTCCAACGTAAACAAGACAGTAATGTACAAAGAATGGCTCTGTAAGCAGTTTTAAAGTACAGGTGTTAGCATATTTGAAACTCCATGAAACAGTGTCTGTATGAATTAGCAAGCGATAAAGTTTAGATATTCACAGTCCCACAGAAATGATTGTTTTCTCTGTGGTTCAATCGGCAGTTTCTTATTCGTTCTATATCGAAAATCTGAGTTAATTATTTGCAAAAAACAGATTTCTCAGTTGTGAAAATGTGTCAAAAGTGGTGGAATTGCTCGTTACAGTCTTCAATATGTTTGGTTTCTAGTCAGTACATTTCTGCACAAGACTTTGCTCAACAAGGGATGAAATGTTATACGTGTGGCACTAAAAGAAAAAGAAAGTGGCAAATTTTAAGCTTCTCTCTACTTCCATAACTGTCAACTGATCGACATGACGCAACCTGTTTATTGCAATCAGAAAGTCTGTGATCCGGGCGCCAGAACTCACCGTGTGGAGCTAATCTCACTGGTAAAGTACCATGTGGAGCTAATCTCACTGGTAAAGTACCATGTGGCGCAGAACTAAAAAAGGTCTCGTTATGATTTTCAAATCATTAACGACAAAACAAGGAATAAAACCAGGATTTCTATCTTTGTGAAAAAGGTGTTGGTTATAGATTTGTTGTTGACAAAACTCTTGTCTATTCAGCTGTTATGGTCCCAGCTGGATTCGTCTGCATATCTGGCAACCTGAGTCAGGGAGAGTGGGAGAGGCTGCAGTACCACTTTTGGCCACATGTTTACACTCTGCTCCTTTAAATACTGAGCAGAACTCCTTTCTACTTTCTCCTTTGTAATCTTTCTCAGCGTGTGCGTCTTCCTTCTTAAAGAATCAAACCCCGGGACAACCGAGCAGTGCCAATCTCTGTGCAGCCTCCGTCCCAATCCATTGCTCACATACAGTACAGAGCAAAAGAGTGGACACCCTCTCTCCTTCACTGAGTTCTTTTCATGACTATTGCTGTAGACCCGCACCAGGCTGTGTAAGGGCTGTTTGACCAATAAGGAGAGAGACCGGACCTGAACCCAGTCCAGATGGTTTTGGGGCTGGACCACAGAGTGAAGGGGCCAACAAGTGCTAAGCATCATGGGAACTCGGACCATTTCAGGTCCTGTTGAAGCTCATCCAGAGAATGCCGAGAGTGAAGCAGTATCAGAGCAAAAGGAGCTACTTTGAAGAACCAGAATATAACACATATTTACACTTGGTTCATACTTTTTTACTACGAACATAATTCACATGAGTTCATTCATAGGTTTGAAGCCCTCAATGTCAATCTACAATTTTGAGAGTCACGAAGATAAACTCTTGAGATGGGTGGGTGTGTCCAAACTTTTGGTCTGTACTGTATAAGTTTATTATAGAAAGTCATACCTGGTCTATAGTCACAGCACACCTCGGCCTCCACCCATGACACATCAACAACCACCCAAACTCCTGTAACCCGACCCAGCTCTCGCTACACGCTCATGGGGGCTAAACAATCCGATATGGGCCAACGCCACGGTTTGTTGATCTTGTTAGAGACAAGGGGAAAAAGGCCTTTGTCGCGGGTCGGGTTCTGGACCGTGGTTGGAAAGGGAGGGGCCTCTTCATAAAGGACCAGGACGACACCAGACGAGGCACCGAGGACTCGACCCGCTCAGCCGCGACATATGGTACCGGGGCAGCGGCCTGTGTAGGGTTACATGGAGGTTCAGGTTTGCCAGCGCTGGTATAATTACCCAGTACACATGGGAGGGACCATGGAGGTTAAATGTTTGCTGGTGTGATGCTGGTAATATATGGACAGGGTTTATGTGCCGTGTTAGTGTTAGAGCAGGGGTGCTCAATACGTCGATCGCGATCTACCAGTCGATCGCAAAGGTAGTATTGGTAGATCGCATTAAATAAATAAAAAATTACACATTCTAAACTAATATATACAAAAAACTCCGGGCAAAGTGGAGATTTTTGAAAACTCCGTTAATGCATTTGTGTGTAGACAGAGATAATAGGAGTTTTGCGTTCTCGCACGCCACAGTACCCCCCTAAATTCCTCTGATCACTGAAGCATGGATCATACTACCTTAAAAACTGTTCGCTGTGAGATGCTCGCAGCAGCGAACATCCTCCACATCAGAGAGCAGCAAAGTGATCGCGGGGACTCACGCTCGAAAACAACCAAACCAGGACTAAACCAGGACTAAACCAGGACTAAACCAGGGCTGAGGACGGGGTCAGTGCTTGTAAACATACGTCTTTACTCTGAGTGTCTTCTATGACTGTAAAAGTGCCGTTACCGGCGTCTGCATCAAAGCTCCGCCCACTTCTGTGTTTTTCCCCAACGCAGGACACAGGACGTAAGAGACGCACATGTTTGGAATGTTACGAATGTGACTGATAACGCAGATGTGTGGATGCAAATTATTTTATAAACTGAGGAGGGGAAATATTTGGATTAAAAAAAAACAGGCATGGCACATGGACATGGCACCACAGTCAAATGACATCTGTGTTTTACTCAGTAATGTTGTGTGTTTTACTCTGTAATGTTTTACTGACACTTAGGTGACTGCACATGCGCAAACAACCGCGCTCAGTGCAGGAAAGCTAAACCACGACAAACTTGTCAGCGAGTTACCACCAATTTTCCGGACTATGCATCCCTGGCCGATTCAATTCAGTGCAAGTCATAAGAGTAAACTCGGGTAATGACAAAAAATGTACATAGATAATTGTGTTGTGTTGTGCTATATTGGCTCATGCGGTTTTGCATGTACATAAACATACATTGTAGGTATAAAGAATATTTTTTGAAATAAATATATGATTTGCATTTTTGTAGTAGGTAGATCATTTTGACTTGATCCTTTTATAAGTAGCTCGCATGCTGAAAAAGTGTGAGCCTGTGTCCAAACTGTTTTGGTCTGTACTGTATAAGTTTATTATAGAAAGTCATACCTGGTCTATAGTCACAGCACACCTCGGCCTCCACCCATGACACATCAACAACCACCCAAACTCCTGTAACCCGACCAGCTCTCGCTACACGCTCATGGGGGCTAAACAATCCGATATGGGCCAACGCCACGGTTTGTTGATCTTGTTAGAGACAAGGGGAAAAAGGCCTTTGTCGCGGGTCGGGTTCTGGACCGTGGTTGGAAAGGGAGGGCCTCTTCATAAAGGACCAGGACGACACCAGACGAGGCACCGAGGACTCGACCCGCTCAGCCGCGACATATGGTACCGGGGCAGCGGCCTGTGTAGGGTTACATGGAGGTTCAGGTTTGCCAGCGCTGGTATAATTACCCAGTACACATGGGAGGGACCATGGAGGTTAAATGTTTGCTGGTGTGATGCTGGTAATATATGGACAGGGTTTATGTGCCGTGTTAGTGTTAGAGCTAGGGTTGCCACGATTTCAACTTTTTGAGTCACGATTATTGACATTATGAAAGAAAATCCACTCTTTATTGTTTTGAGTTTTTTTTTGGAAAACAATTCATGGAAAAATTAAGATCATATAATATTTTACATTATTTCATTGTATGTATTACATTTAAATTATACATTCATGTAAAAATCTGAACATTATGGATATTAAGTATAAAAATGTTCATATAAAAAAAATTAATTCTGGAATGTATATGATGTAGTAGTAGCGTTGACTAAGGATACGTACTGTCCCTTTAAGAGCGTCTCCCACACATGCAGTGTTTTCACCGGTGTGACTTACACTTTCACATTTGCACAATCCTTTTTTATTAAATGTGCACCTGGGACAGTTTTGGAGTTTATTTCTGAACATTTGGACAACTTTATAGACAATTATACAGTTGTTTCCCGTGACTTGGACAAACAGTAAAGGAGGATTACCTGAAGATGTTCTCTCATGTTTGAAGTATTGGGAACTACACTTTGCTCATATTTTGGATTCCCAAAGTGATGTCACACGTCTGACTTAAATTGTGGTAGATACAACTCTGGGGGAGCTTGTCCTGCCATCTCCAAGTTACCGGTGAGTGTCCTCCGTGTGCCGCGGGCCGTACTGCACCTCGCTGGAGCTTTCCGTACCAGCGGTAAACCATCTAAATCCTTATGGTTAACCTCCCGCAGGCTTTTATGATCTCGGCAACCCTAGTTAGAGCCAAGGTCTCCAACCTGTAGCTCGGGATTAACCAGTAGCTCGCCAGCCCCTTTCAGGTAGCTCCCCAAAGGATTTAGAATTTAACACAAGATTCTGAATGAATACATTTTGAGTCACTACATGTCTATCATAAGTATACATACATGGTTTCTACAGTATTATGGTATATTTACATGTGTTTTCTCTCTTGTCTTAATTATTGCATACATCTTTATTAAAACTGCAAGAAAAGAGTAGCTCTCTGCCTCTTCTGTTGTGTAAACGTAGCTCTCCGGTTGACAAAGGTTGGTTAGAGTTTGGTTTTGGGAAGGGCCAGGGCATGGGTGTGTCTACAGTAAAGTGTCATTATAGTAGCTAGACTTTAAAAGGTTATAACTCAAAAACTAAACTTACTATTGTAGATTAAAAACACAGACAAATCAAAAGATAGTGTGGATAAAACATCAGGAAATCACTTCATTTATAAATCAATACTAATTTAAATGACCCTCGAAAAATGCGTAACGGACGTAATGGATGAATGAATTGGTTTACTATATGAAAGTAATGAGCTCCAGGACAGACTCAGGAAACACTGGACTGCGTCAGATGGAACGTCTCAGGATTCTCCCGAAGAGTGAGATGTGTGTGGCTGCCCGTGTAGCCCAGCAACGGATAAAGCGGAAGAACGGATGAATGAATCGATCAACATTTACTGGTGGTTATGTCAAGGGGAGGGACTATGTGCATTAAAAAGATACAAGATCATACGGCCAAAAATATACATATTTATGAAGTCATGAGGTCGTACCATGTGTAAACTCTGGTCCATGATCATCTCCTACATGTACGTCTGGTCTTACCATGTGTAAACTCTGGTCCATGATCATCTCCTACATGTACGTCTGGTCTTACCATGTGTAAACTCTGGTCCATGATCATCTCCTACATGTACGTCTGGTCTTACCATGTGTAAACTCTGGTCCATGATCATCTCCTACATGTACGTCTGGTCTTACCATGTGTAAACTCTGGTCCATGGTCATTTCCTACATGTACGTCTGGTCTTACCATGTGTAAACTCTGGTCCATGGTCATTTCCTACATGTACGTCTGGGTCTGATCCTAGTGGCTGCAGTTTTCCTCGTTGAGAGTCACGAAGATAAACTCTTGAGATGGGTGGGTGTGTCCAAACTTTTGGTCTGTACTGTATAAGTTTATTATAGAAAGTCATACCTGGTCTATAGTCACAGCACACCTCGGCCTCCACCCATGACACATCAACAACCACCCAAACTCCTGTAACCCGACCCAGCTCTCGCTACACGCTCATGGGGGCTAAACAATCCGATATGGGCCAACGCCACGGTTTGTTGATCTTGTTAGAGACAAGGGGAAAAAGGCCTTTGTCGCGGGTCGGGTTCTGGACCGTGGTTGGAAAGGGAGGGGCCTCTTCATAAAGGACCAGGACGACACCAGACGAGGCACCGAGGACTCGACCCGCTCAGCCGCGACATATGGTACCGGGGCAGCGGCCTGTGTAGGGTTACATGGAGGTTCAGGTTTGCCAGCGCTGGTATAATTACCCAGTACACATGGGAGGGACCATGGAGGTTAAATGTTTGCTGGTGTGATGCTGGTAATATATGGACAGGGTTTATGTGCCGTGTTAGTGTTAGAGCTAGGGTTGCCACGATTTCAACTTTTTGAGTCACGATTATTGACATTATGAAAGAAAATCCACTCTTTATTGTTTTGAGTTTTTTTCTGGAAAACAATTCATGGAAAAATTAAGATCATATAATATTTTACATTATTTCATTGTATGTATTACATTTAAATTATACATTCATGTAAAAATCTGAACATTATGGATATTAAGTATAAAAATGTTCATATAAAAAAAATTAATTCTGGAATGTATATGATGTAGTAGTAGCGTTGACTAAGGATACGTACTGTCCCTTTAAGAGCGTCTCCCACACATGCAGTGTTTTCACCGGTGTGACTTACACTTTCACATTTGCACAATCCTTTTTTATTAAATGTGCACCTGGGACAGTTTTGGAGTTTATTTCTGAACATTTGGACAACTTTATAGACAATTATACAGTTGTTTCCCGTGACTTGGACAAACAGTAAAGGAGGATTACCTGAAGATGTTCTCTCATGTTTGAAGTATTGGGAACTACACTTTGCTCATATTTTGGATTCCCAAAGTGATGTCACACGTCTGACTTAAATTGTGGTAGATACAACTCTGGGGGAGCTTGTCCTGCCATCTCCAAGTTACCGGTGAGTGTC